GTTCAAGATCTTGCGCGCGACACGTGAATCGACGGATTTGCACGGAAAGCGGTAGAGACACGTCGCGTGTCGCAATACTCGTAAATGCGAAGAACGCGGCGTTTTCGCGAACCGACAGAGAATACGCGCTTCCTGTACAATCAGTCGCAGCAGCTCGTTGCCCGCGTAACAGAGAAAAACTGCGGAGATGCACGTACCGGCGACAAAAAGAAATACGAGAAAGAAGACAAAATCATCCGGAGTTTCGCGAAAAGTTCTCGCTTGTGTGTCGCGGAGAAACGCGACGGCTCGTTGTTGATTATGTATCTGTAAGACAAGGCGGAAGGCAACATTTCTTCGATATGTAATTTCTGCCGTGAACCAACAAGCCACTGAAAATCCAAGAGAAATTGGATGCAAAATAATTACGTCACTGTGCGCCGCGAAAATGTAGAGGCGGACTTACCGTACTCTAAAAGAAATTTAAAGTCTAATCTGCAATGTGTTCTTTGCGTCTAGAAACATTCATGCAGTAAAAAAAATGAAACGATATTAAGTTTGCGTCAATAATTTCTCCTCTCTCGAATCGTCTAAATAAGATTGACTTACTATAATTGAGAGACAAGTAACATGTATAAATTTAAGCTTGCATTTACATTCTTGCTTGGAATAAATCTTCTCGCTAAAGGCCGCTTCTGCCAACGCAGTTTAACTTTAGTCTCGGTTCAATTTACTTTGTATCCTTTTACGAATTAAAAAAGATGAGAGGTAATTTAAACTGAGATTAAAGTTGATCCGCGTTGGTAGAAACGGGCATAAATGTTATAGCGCACGCAACATCGTCTTGCAAGATTAAAGTGTTCCTTTCTCAACAATAAATATTGTCGTCATATCGGTCCCATTTTCCGATAAAGGCGTGAACAGCATTGGACCCGGAAATCTCTTTTGTGCAGGGTACGGAATGAAAAGCGAGAGTCCAGGAGCGAGTCGAGCCGCGTAAGGGCCAGTTTCACAAACGTTAACTGTTAGCCAGAGTTCGGTTAACTCCCTATCTTTTTCCATCTTGTTATTTAAGAAGAGACGGAGAATCAATTAACCTTCGGCCAGCAGTTTACTCCCTAAAAGGACTCGGGGATGTGTAAAGTGACCGCGCGTTACGCCGACGATCGCCTCGCGTTACAGATGAGGGCGCACGGCAAGGCGGAGAAAGAGAGAAGGAGCGGAGGAGAGAGCGCGAGGGATACACAAGGAAGTGGTACAGCATTGCCGCAGGGAAGGACGCCGAATCTGGGCCACAATTACACGGAGGCCGACGACGCGCCTCTCCTTTCCTCGTGCGACTGGCGCCGCGATTACATATACACTCTCCCGCTTTCGAAATAATAATTATTTAATACCCGAAGCAAATGGTGAAATGTGCGGGGCTCGACTCAGAGAAAGAAAGAAAGAAAGCGCGCGCGCGAGAGAGAGGGAGGAGGGATGGACCGGTTTTCTTTCGTCGTGACAGTTGCCGAGAGCACTGTGATGGCAGAGGCAATAAAAAGCACGAAAACAATACCAAACTGTAATTTCCGAACGAAACCAAGAATAGGACTCGACCGACATCCATCACGACCGCGTCGTCGGTCCTGGATCATCTTGATCCGTCATGGCAACGCGAGCGATTGATAAAGGAACAGCCAAGATAAGAGATTGACGTTAAAGCCCGTATCAAACTACGGATCGAGATTGAGATTAGATTGAAATTTGACCAATTAGAGTAAAAGTTACCAAACTTGAGATTAGTAGACTTTACTGTGATTGGTCAACTTTCAATCTAATCCCAATTTCAATCCGTAGTCTGGTACTGGCTTGAGGGGGGTATTTTTTTTATACCGCGATAATTACCGCATCAATGTCGCCCAGGCCGTTCGGATACGAGAGACCGAGAGCGTTTGCGACGGACGTCGGAGTATTCCGCCTCTAGGAAGTCGGAGGGAAAGTGGTGATACAAAGGCAAAAAGGCAGGCCGTGTGAGCGGTTGACCGAGCAGCTTCTGCGTACGCGCAACTCGAAAACGCGACGTACGTGCGTGATAAGTAAAACGCTCCGGCGCGCCGTTCGGGTCGTCTTTGTTACGCGCGTGACTCAGTGAAACGCGCCCGTCGACGGCGATCGAGTGGCAGAAAAGGGTTCATCCCGGGGTCCCCGAATGCGCGGAATATGCAGCTGCTCGTTTGCGGAATGCAGAAAATACCGCACGACAATCCACGCGGCGCTGCCCATATTCGTCCCGCAACAGGTTTCGAATTATCCTCGCGGCTCCCCTTCCAAAACGCGCTTTCGTACCCCTTGCCTCCCTGATGCTAATCGCTGAAAATATAATTTACTAGGATAACTAATGAGAATATTCTTAAACGTCGCCAGCAGTAATTAACAACATCGGTGATTTTTATTGACCGTATCTGGCAATTTTAATAATAAAGAAAATTTATTGCGAGAAATATTACCAAATATTACTCAGCCAGGGTTTGAACCTGGACCACCCTTCTCTCTAGGCGGGCTAGTCAACAAACATATACAAAATGAGACCAATGTGTAGCTAATAAAATTGCTGCTTTTTCGTAAAAGTTGCAAATTGATTGACTATACATTTTCTCGGACCGAGTGGAACTTGGAATTAAAAATGTCGATAATTGACGTTTTCAATTCCGTCTCCTATCTTATCTGATCGAGTTCGCCAACGGTTTTAGGATCCCCTTAAAAGCCTGCTATCTTGTATTAGAAGCCTATATCATAATAGAGGACTTTCCTCTACTTTTAAAGAACATTATAACTGTACAGGTAGTAATTAATGCACTCCTAATCGCTTGCGACGGACAAACTAATTAGATACCGTAATTAACGCCGATTTCTCAGAAGATTCTGTAATTATTTGTTGAGTGGAACTTATTTACTACCAATTAACCCGATATCTTGGCGCAGAAATCGAACGCCTCGAGGCTCTCGAATTCAGGCCGCGAATTCACGTGTAAAATTCAGAAGGTTCGAATAACGTTCTCCGTAAACAAGAAACCATATCGGTTCTCCCTCCCCGCGGCTCCTTACGCCATTAGCCGGCTGTGTTTTTCCGCGAGCGAATAACGTTCGCGTTCTCCCGTGCCACATCGTTGATCTCGACAAATCGACTTAATGCGATCTACCTGTTTACGAGGCGGCGCACTTAAACCGATAATCGATTGACGCCGTGTGTTGCGTGCACGCGCGTTTTCCTGAAGCGAACGACCGAAATGGCCTGGTGAAAGCGCGACCATCAATGGCAACTCGGCGCGATAACGCTCCTCGCGAGGAGCCGGCGATGTCCCTGCACGCGTGAACCCACTCCACGCAAGTGCAATACACGCGTGTGACATAATCTAGGCTCAATGAGGCACGACACTCGCGCAAGTGACATAATCATCCTCATTACGTTGCGTAAGAACGACGAGGGAGCCGCAAGTGGAACAATCGACAGCTCGAATCTCCGACGGGTGCAGGAAAGTGTCCGATAAACTGGCGAATCGGATAATTGCAATTGGTACGCGGTTACTGCTCGACAATACGCAATTAACAATCTTTCTTTGTTGCAAAACGGAAAGGTGTAACAAACGTACGCAGATACGCCGGTTATGTCATTGAAATGTCTAGTACGTTAACGGAGTCTCGTCTTCCTCTTCCTCATTCTATTGTCGCGGCCGCTGACATGACATTACGAATCACACGCGGCGCGAATATCGTAGCGCAAATAATGGTATACACGCGTATGCGTACATCGCGTGATTAGGACGTCAGTCCGAGCAGACAAAGGTCTGGTTCCGTAAAGATAAATGTTACTGACGTCGCCTTACGCGTCACATCCCGCTTCGGATGCACAAACGTTGTTCAGGAATAACGCGTCGAATTTGTGGTACCCGGATTTGAAGTTACGGTCGCGCGATCTGGGGTGCTTTCGCGACGTAGATCAAAATGATCCGGATCAAAATGATCCGTGCTATGATTGGTCAAATCTGGAATTTCATTGAATAAAATTTCAATGAGATGCTACGAAATTTCAGTTTTGACCAATCATAGCACGGATCATTTTGATCCGGATCATTTTGATCTACGTCGCGAAAGCACCCCTGGTCGAAGTAAACTCTAGAAATGCATCCGTAGCAAGACCTTACTTTGACGGCCTATAACGAGCGAGAATACCCGAGTCGAGTATTTGGTCTCGGAACCCTGCCGGAAATAGTGCTACAAAATTCTTAAAAAAATATATACTATTAGAATCTAAGAAATTCTACGTAAATTTAAAAAGTGTTATAAAAATCAACATGAAAAACTTCTGGTAAAGCCATGGTGTCGACGATGCTAGAACTCGATCCAAAATCTCGGTCTAAGCAATGTGTAGCTAATAGAATTGCTGCTTTTTCGTAAACTAGAACTCGAACCAAGTTCCTAGCATCGTGGACACAGGCCTTAAGAAACGCGGCGATTCGAAGGACATTCGTTTTTTTTTTCTTTCGTGAACATTGAGGACTTCAAGTGAATGACCTGAATGCGCACACGCACAGTCAACCTTGTCGAATATCTTTCCCCTAAACATAACGATCGGAAATTTCAGAGTATCTCGCGAGAAATCGAAGGCTGTTCGACTCCCACCAATACCGCGCGCGGCGCTTTTAGATTCGGTGATCATCCTTTCAAATACTCAGTAGCGATTTAATCCCGACGCGCGATATTTGCCCAATACAGCCGTCGTACTTGTTTATAATAGTTTTGCGCGCGTTCACGGTTGAGCGCGTAACGTCTGCATAATAATCTTCAGTATGTGAATTTCTATTTACCATCAAAACAATCCCCTCCGTTGTTCTGAGAAGATTGCACTAATTTGAAGTTGGTTTTTAGTAGAGTGAACAGGTGTCCCCCAGCAACGCGATTGAGGCGTCCAGTAGTCAGGCATTGGTCTCGCCGTGCAAATCGACCGTGGCCGATTTTATATATTCTTTTCGCCCTTGCAGGATGAGGAGGAGCGGCATAAACGGACGAGGAGTCGGCGACAACGGCGAAGGAGCGTTGGTCCTGCTCCTCGTCGCATTGACTCCTGTTATCTGCTCCGCCGGAATCCTGGACCCTTGGCAGTGGGCGCGCAGCGATCGGATCGAAGTCAACATACCTTGGCTGCCTTGTAAGTACCATCACGGACAGATTAGAGAATCCAATCGTAATCGTTAACCCCTTCACGGCCATGCAAGTCCCACATACATGCTTTACCTCTTTGATTCCTTGGAATGCTAGTGTCCCGTTAAAAAAAATAATAATATCATAAAAGAGTCACCGACCAACCTTTGTCAGAGTAAGAAATTAACAGAAAATCGCAGTTTTTGAGGCGTCACCCTGCAAGGGCGAAAAGAATATATAATTTTTCAATTTTTAAATTGCACCGATCTTAAGAACGAAATAAACCGAACATAACCGGACTTTTTCATCATATCTTGGATACTCGCTGCTCAACAAAGGATAAGTTATTACTCATCTTTCACTCTTTGGAATTATCATTGTGCTCGCCGTCATGGACACCGTAGGGTTTTTAAAATGTATTTACCATCGACAATTTGCCATAGTCTACATTGATGTTATATAGAAAATGAGACGTTGCGTCTCATTTAAATTATATGTCAATACTTATAGGTATGTATAATACTGACGAAGACTAAGCGAAATATTTATTTTATCTAAGATTCTAAGATAAAATAAAACGAAGACTAAGAATTTTTGTAATAGTTATTCAATAAACTCCTATCATAGCTCTTGTAATAACTTACGACCTGTTATTACATATATTTGTAAAGAATATTGTAAATAATTCGGTCATGAGAAAGAGACGATTCGTCCCTCTTTACAGTGTCAGGAACATATGCATATGTTCCTGACATGTATATTAAGTATATATCGAGATTTATTGTCTTTCGCATCTTTTGCCAACTATAAAATTCTTCTCATTGTCGGCTCTCACGAACGTAGAGCAAAACTTAATCGAAATTAGAGAAAACTTAACGCGTCAATGAAGGAACAATTTCTTTCAGTCGAGAACGAGACGCGCTGTTACGACGAGCTGGGTTGCCTAAACATCACCAGGAGCTGGTACCACCTCATTCATCGACCCCTCAACGTGTTTCCGTTACCGCGAGAAGTTATTAACACGAGGTTCATCCTCTACACGAATCAGAATCCCCTAGACGTAAGTAAAGGCCGGCGGCCCCTCGGATATAAATATTCGTGCGACAATCGCGGCGCCTTGAAATCGAAAGCACGCTTGGCGTTTTGGTCGTAACGCGAAAGTGAAACCGAGGTGAAGATCGAAATTCATCGGCGACTTGGAATTTCACGGCTAGTAAATTCGGATACGGTGTAAACCGCTTCCGCGTGGCATAATCGCACGCATCGTGAGAAATTGTATTAAAAGCCTGTCGGGTTCTACACGGAGAGAATTTTCTCTTAAAATGATTGTGGGACAACAAGGCGTTTTTGAACAGCTTTGTGGGCGTCTTTTCGAAATTTTACCAGTGAAATGTATGGTAAAATTTCGAAAAACTCTTATAAAATTCTTCGAAATGCCGTATTGTCCTACGATTACATGATTTTCAGAATAAATGGAAAAAAAATCTCTCCGTGTGTATAAAAGAAAGTCCTCTATCGTGTGATAGGTTTCTAATATGATCTAGCAGATTTTCACCACCCAAATTCAATCGCAAATCTTTTTTCGCAACGCTTACATAATCTAACAATGTTTTAAGTATGTTTCAAGTTTTTGTGAATGTTTTAAGTATGCAAATGTCCTCATCCCCAGAACCCCCGCTGTCCCGTATTAGGATCCTATCTCATAATAGGAGACTTTCTTCTACTAGACTGCTACCTTCGAGCTGAAAAGTGAGAGTTCTGCCATGTCTTATTAGGTAAATGAAGTAGTATGCGTGGGGTAAATGTAGCCGTCTAGTATATGTATAGAAGCCTGTGGTTCCGTCCCGCGACAAGAATAACCGGATGGAGTATCCCTTGGTCCCGCCGCTTATCGCGGGGATCAGCTGTGAATATTTAATGGCCATGGATATCTTAATTAGCGCCATCAATTAAACAAGACTGCACGTGTCGGTGAGCAGGCGCGGCGCGGCGGTGCCTACGTGGCGCACGCGCGCTGTTCCCTACGTGCACAAAGATAAGATCTTTGATTTATGAATTAATGGATGTATCCGAGGAGGAAGAGAGCCGCGGGTCCGTGCGAGGTATCGAACTGCGGTTTCAGCAGACATAACGCGCGCGGTGAAATCACATACCTACCACATAACCGTGCACGCAAGCATACATCACTCGCCTCGCGTAAAATCGCTGAATCATGAAATTAAAATAAATACTTTTGTGTAATTACGCCCGGCAATTAGCAAGCACAATCCCCGGCTTATCGCGAACTTTTACTGGTATTCCTTCCCTCTCGGGACACGCCTGCGGAATGGAACTTTTCCTATTAGCGCCCGTCCTTCCTGGCGAACGATAAAGAAAATGAAATGTATATCCGTGGCGTTCAGAATCTAAGAGCAACGTTTTCGAATGAGCTCGTCGAGTAATCGACTCCTTTCGTCGAGCCGCGTGAACGTACGCTTAATAATGTGTATAATGCGTTCTTTTTGTTTCTCCCTCCCCAGGGACAGATTTTAAAAGTGGCCAAGGATAAATCCATCGAAAATTCAAACTTTAATCCTAAACGAAAAACCAAATTCATTATACATGGCTTTATAGACACTCCACTCAGCAACTGGGTCAAGGTAAGTTTACCCTTTTATTGTTGCAACATAGATGCTCGTTCATCGGACCTTTTTCTTTTTTATCGAAGTCTTACGTTACGTATTCGCAATCAAACTGTCATACTTATAATACCGATCCCATGTTATTTATTAATTACCAAAGATTAGCCTGCACCGTGCATCTCCATCGCCCGACTGTCGTCGTCTATTGCGAGCTAGACGTATTGGTAAAGAAACGTATTTCCATGCTACATTGCGTCAGTGTTCTCGAATATACATGCAACACTCGAAATACAATACGCGACCCAGTGACACAGTTGCATCTGACGACAGACGCAGCTCTTAAGCAATACGCGAAAATCCTTTAGCCGGCATTTATCCTCGAAATACGCCCGCAGGAGATGAGGAGCGAGTTGTTGGTGCACGGCGATTACAACGTTATCGTGGTCGACTGGGCAGGTGGCAGCCTACCTCTGTATACCCAAGCGACAGCGAACACGAGGCTGGTCGGACTCGAATTAGCTCACCTCATCAAGCACTTGCAAGTAAGGAATGTCCCAAGCTGGATTAAATTCACGTCCGCCGACAGATAATGTCAGATCCTCAGCACGACCGAAATGAAATATCACGAACGTAATGTCTGAAAATAAGGGACGGCCACGGTACTTACTTCAACGTGCGATAGTTGCGGAAATTTGCGATAACGCCGTAACGTGAAAATAACTTTTATTTCTAATCCCAGAAAAATATCATATTTACACATTTGTATCCTCGACTCTGATTAAATCCAGACAAATTACGGCCTGGACCCGGACGACGTGCACTTGATCGGGCACAGCCTCGGTGCCCACACGGCTGGCTACGCGGGCGAGAAACTGGGCGGCAACATCGGACGTATCACCGGGCTGGACCCCGCGGAGCCGTACTTCCAGGGGATGCCGAGCCACCTTCGCCTGGACTACACGGACGCCCGGCTGGTGGACGTAATTCACACCGACGGGAAGAGCATATTTTTCTTAGGTAAACGACGCACAACGGACACTCCGCGTTCGTCGTGCTCGTGCGTAACACGAACACCTAGCGAGGCTCTATTGATCGGAACGACCCGAAAGACGACGATCTAGCGAAACTGCAAATACCTTCAATGAGCTAAAGACATAGTGAACTACGCGCAATTTAATGAAGGAAAAGAAATGTGGGGGGGGGGAATTAGGCTCGTCCATCTCTGTGAAATCTCAGCTTGGGATTCGTAGCTGAAAACCTTATCAAGAGGGGAAGGTAAAGATCTCGACTCTGTACGTAAGCAAAGATATCGGTGTCGGCTTTTGATAGAGAGACAAGGTCTTTATTTATATTCGATCGTCGTTTCGATGAATCCTCTGATAAATGGAGCCTCGTCGCACCGTGGGTCACGTTCTCCAAACTAACGTAGTACATGGCAAGGCCTTCCAGGGTACGGGATGAGCCAGCCCTGCGGGCATCTGGACTTCTATCCGAACAACGGCAAGGAGCAGCCCGGCTGCACGGATCTGAGCGAGACCACGCCGTCGCTGCCGCTCACTCTGATACGCGAGGGCCTCGAGGAGGCCTCGCGCGTCCTGGTCGCCTGCAACCACGTGCGCGCGCTCAAGCTCTTCATCGAGAGCATCAACTCCAAGTGCCAGTACGTGGCGCACGAGTGCTCGAGCTACGCGAGCTTCCTACGGGGCGAGTGCTTCTCCTGCAAGAGCAACAACAGCTTGAGCTGCGGCGTGATGGGCTATCACGCGGACACCAGTCCGGCCCTGGTGAAACGCCAGGCCATGGGGCAGGACGTCTCGTCCCTGCTGGGCTCCAAGTTCTTCTTCATGACCGGCAAGGAGGATCCGTATTGCAGTGAGTATACAGTGCTCGTCGGATGCGCGAAGCGGCTGAGCAGGTTTCTAAACGGCGCTAACGGGAATGCGTTCGGCCGTGTACTGTTTCTCGCATATTCGATATCTGGTACAGATATGTAATGTAGGCTGATCGCATGATCTTCGATAAGATAGCGCCAATATGTAAAACTATGTTAATACCGATGGACAGTCATTTCGGCGTGAAAGAACGAAAAATCGACGACCATTAACTTTCCCAGTGGTAATAACTGCTTAAGAACACCGCCGGGGCTATCAGCTTTCCATCACAATGCACTCTCGCGCTTTTAGATAGATGCATTCCGATCGTAAAGGTGTCGCGCGAGAAATATCGCAGCAGCGATTCAAAGTCCCCATCCGCCGGTGCGAACGTTAATTTTGATCGAGATTTATTCGATCCGTACAGGCATCCGTTAATTCCCCGCTATCGATGCGAAGAATATCTACCGAGCAATGCGGCTTTTCTCTATCGCGAGAGACGCAACTTTCTCCGCGCGCGATAAAAGCAGCGAACGACGTCTCGTCTCTCTCTTTCTTTCTCTCGAAGTACTCTCTGATACCGATCGTAATCGCCTTTTAGGAAGACATTACAGACTGACCATCAACCTCGCCCGACCGCCGACCGCGGAGAGCTGGGTGCAGGGCTTCATGAAAGTCACTCTCCACGCTGACAAAGGTGTGATACGCAACATGGATCTCACGCCCAGGCAAGTATTTGTGCCGTTATCGCCGCGTCCATTCGTCTACGTCGCGCGGCGACGGGGATCAGGAGGCCCCGGCTATTTCATTTTACGCTTCGCGTGCCCGCGTTAATCTCGCGCTCGACGCTCCGTCCTCTTCTTCCGTTTCTTCTTCCCGCCGTCGTTTGACCGGACATCGTTTTCCTGCCGCAGCGGTTACATGAAACTGGAGCACGGGTCGACCGCGCGGATGGTCGTGGCGCACCCGACCGGTTCCATCGGCAACATCGGCAAGATCAGGCGGGTCGAGCTGTCCTGGGCCTACGACATGGACGTGCTGCAGCCCAGGTCCCTGTGCTTCTTCTGGTGCAATGACCGCCTGTACGTCAACAGCGTCAGAGTGGACGCCATGGACCTGCCGGGCAGAGGGTGAGGAACCGGAGCGCGATCTAATGTAATCCGATCGTGCTCTATCTATTATTTTAGCCCGCTACCGCCTTCCCGTATACACCTAACTCTGTCCCGCTTTTAGAAAACGGGAGGTGGATTTCTCCAGCAGGCTCTGCTCGGCTGGCAGACAGGAGTACGCGGAGATCGCCAGCGGATCCACCGCCACGTTCGTAGACACTTGCTGACGATCCGCGGCGGGAAATCGCATCTCGGGCGCGTCATGTAATTACAAAACGCCGTAGTGTTAGCTGCTTCTATCCGTAGGCGGTTACTTGAAAGTCGGACGACAACGACGACGATGATGATGTTGATGATGATGATGATGAAACGCAACGCGAGAGAATCGCGGCCCCTCGCAATCCTCGTAATTTCTTTCGCCGGCGATACAGCCGGCGGGAGACAGGCGTTTTATGTGTTCGGCTCTTTCTCTATTTATCGCCGACGATCTGCCGCTTTCTTTAGACGCGGCCCGGCGGCGCGGCACGAGCCACCAATTAACACTTCCACGAGGCTCGCGGACGAGACGATCTGACGTAATTCGCAGTCTTGCATGCCTGTAATCGAGTTCCTAGAGATCTGTCCCGTCGGGCGAAGATAAGATCCCAATAATGGCGCGACTCGATTGAGAAAACACTCGTAGGAAGTGAATTCCTTGGCGCCCGGATGCGAAATCGGACGAGCCACGAGCGTGCTTCTGACAGAAAAGTCTTAACTTCTCGCTATGCTTTTTCTTCTCTTTTTTTTTTGGTAACGATTTCTTCAGTATTAGTATTGATCAATTATTATGTACATGTTGTATATAACAGTAGACAGTAACACGTTAAAATTAATTCCTTATGGATGTGATTATCGCTAGAGTCTTCAGTGATCGCTAATGTAAGGCTCCTACTAAGCCATCGGTCTATGTATTGTACAATTGATACACTTCTTGTTCTTTCTCCCCTCGATGATATGGTTATCGTATTGTCCCACGCGATACGAATATGACGATAGGTTGTGATATTCCCTTATAGCTTAAGAATCGTAACAACAAAAAAAAAATGCGCAAAAATGCGGTGACTCAGAGATGACAAACTATACTGCTATTTGCTCATAGTCTTTATGAATAAAAGTGTACAAAAGATGTAACGAAAGGCAATTCTTGTTAGTGATAGGAATATTTCGAGCTATTTTTATAACTGTATAGATTGTTGCATTGTAAAATAAAGTTTATTAGTTATAAGTATGAATACTATTGCACAAAAATAAAATGAGGAATATTTTTTTATAAAATATATGTGAGATTTGTGTGTTCGTGGAAGTTCATGTAAAGTGTGTTACTTTTGTTTCTGGAGATCTCGGGGGAAAAATCGAAGAAACACACCTGCGACTACAGCTTGCTAATCTTTCGCAGTGTTTACTCCTCGATAATAACGCTTTACACGTTAATCCGTCGCTTATACAAAAAGATTATCGCGGAGCGCAGCTATACACGGTAACACATGATTCTTCTTTTTTTTATCTTACACGAGATTCAACAATGATTGAGTAAAAAAGCCGTCCACGTTTGTTCGACGCGGTAACAAGGGATTGGTAAAATATATAATATGATATAATATAGCGATATACATAATATAATCTAATATAATCTCTAAAATCTGTCATATAACATAGAATCTGTATATAAATAATAAATAGGAAATAAGGGAGCGGGTTGATCGATTAGCTTGGTAAGACTTTAGCACTAAATTACCGTTACGAAGAACATTTATATGGGGGACTATGGGGGACTATGGGGGAGTATGGGGGGAAAACTGGTGACTGGACAAACAAGAAGAGCGTGAAGATAAATTGAGAACAGTGAAAGAGAGAGAGAAAGAGAGAGATAACTAACAATAGACGTGACTATACAGCTGATTCATTTGGCATAATAGTCTAGAGCGGACTTTTTTTCTAGCGCGATAGGATACGGTCAGTGAAGATCATCGACCCAAGCGGTGTCTAATGACTCGATGAGAGTACGGACGAAGGCCATCTCCTTCCGTGCGTTCTCTAAGATTACCCGAGGGTCTTGGGACGTACACCGCAATACATTCGGCGCCATCACCATCGCAAGATTATTGGCGTCCATTTTAGTGCGGGCGACCACCTCGGGTCTAGCGAATATCTGTAAAGTTGGTTTCAGTATCGTAGCGTCCCCAAAGACGTTGTATTCAATTTGACTCGACGGCGTCGAGCGCATGCAATCCCCCCGTACTCTCACCGTGCGTTCAGCGTTGAAGCGTTGCTGTACGTACAGGTCTACGTTGTTTAAAGAGCGCGCGATATTTCGTCAGACATGAATATGAATACAGAGCGCACGCGGTTGCACGCGGCTGAACGCACGGTGAAAATAGCAGACGAATTTTCATTCAGCTTTCTCTCACTGAGAATGCACAAAAATGTTTTCTTACCTGTAGGAAGCGTATTAGATGACACAGCACACGACGGTTGAGGTCCGGCAGACGTTCAACGAGCGCGGCCACGTTCGCCGCCGAGGCTTCCGGATCGTCGTGCCGCATGGACACGCACTCCACGTAGAAGGAATCCGGTATCAACGGCTCGTACAACTCGCGTACCCATAGTTTCAGCAGGGAGGCGGGCGCGTGTGCGTCCTGAGAAGCTGCCAGAATCGCCCCGTCCTCGAACCTGTCCAAGCAGGACTTCAACGCGCTGACCTCGTCGGCGTCCGCGGACACCCGGAAAATGCCCTCGGTCAGCGTGCCACCGCGCACGAGCACCTGGCGCGTCAGCGTAGTCTGTATCCATGGTAACTCTCTATGCGAGAAGCGGTCCTTCTGCAAAGCCATAACTTCCGAGAGCGTCGCGCCGAACATGGACGCGCGGAAGATTTGTATCTACGAGAAAAGCACGAGGGACACGTCAGATTTTTAGAGCCAATCCACCCTCGATAACTGATAATCAGAGAGAAGCCCGAGAGCTGCCGCGGCCCCGTTTTTCGTGACTGGCGAAAGCGATATGCCCTTTGTGGACATTGAAAAACGTGGACATGAACTACGTAGCCAATGTCCACAGAGGGCGTATCGCTTTCGCCAATCACGAAAAACGGGACAGCTCTCAGGCCTGATATTAGGTAATTATCAAGGCAATTAATTACCCTCGCTTGGTCGATATCCTCCACCGTGGCCTTGCGAGGCTGTCGCTTGCCGTGCGCGCCGATCCGCTGCAATCGTCTGCAGGCCACGGTCGCGTAATGACTGACTTGCACGTGTATCGGCCACTTGGCGACCTCGGGAAACTGGAAGTTGGGATCGCGATGCCTGTTCATGTAGCCCTCCAGGTAGGGCTCGAACGTGGCGCTAGGCGGCACGAAAGCCAGACACACAGCCATCAGCTCCCACCCGCGCCGCAGACTCTCCTTCCGCGGATTCTCCGTCGTCTGCCGGCAGACCTGAACGTACAGCTCGTCCCGCAGGGGCGGCTTCGTAAACGCGGTGTTGACGATATCCATGGCGACGCTGTCCAACGTCATACCGACGTTGGCCTTGCGATCCCCCATGTACACTTGAACCAATCGGAATAGATTGCAAGCCTCCCTCTTGAGTAGCTTCTCGCCGTCCACCATCGCGAGCATCGGTTGCGGTATCGGGTCTTTCGACCAGCTGAGGATGTCTCGCACGCTGAACTTCTTTCGAAACAACAGCCTCAGTCCTTTCGGTCTGCCGCAATTCAAATTGAGATTGTCCTGCGCGTATTTCTCGATGTCGCCGCCGCCCGTGCTGTCGTCCCTCCGCGCCTCGTCCAGGTCGGTGTTATCGACATTCGTTATACCGATACTCGGAGTTGTCGAACTCACGGTGGGCACGGAGACCTGCCTCGTAGTCACCACGCTGTCCCTCGCTTCCGTCTGAGACACGATGTTCGGCGGCGACGGCGGTCGCGCCTGCGGCCTCGTCAGGGTGTCGGCTGTGGTGTAGTAAGTCGCTAAGCCTGCGGTGTCGTAATTACCTAAATCTAGCAACCGTGCGAGAAAGGACACGCCGTTAATTACACGTTCGATAAAAGCGCATTTTATAATTTTCCAAAATAATGTCACACCCGCGTAGTGATCCTCGAGGTACTCTTGACTGGAAGAATCGCCTTGATTGCTGGCCGCTTCGTCGTCGGCGAATTGATCGTCGGAATCGTCATCGCCTCTTCCGCCGATACCCTCGCCCCTGCCACCTTCCTCGTCCAGAGAATCTTCTCCCTCTTCTACGAGTAAAGGATCTCCAAACTTGTAACAACCTGCGTGTCGTGAACAAAAGAGGAACAATGCAACGTGTTCCAGTTCACAAAAAAATCGCTCGCGACGTCGGACAGATTTCTGGTTTGTTACCTGATAATTTCGCCTGTTGAATAATGTAATGTTGCAACGGTAATAAGTGATCAGCATCAGCCAGCAGATTACCGTAAAACGGCGACGGCGGGGGACTGGGATTTCCATTACTTCTTTTCTTCTTGCTGTCGTCTCCTTCGGCGTGACCCTCGGTCTCCTCGCCCGCGGCGCTATTGCTGCTGCTGTTGCTGCTGTTACTACTGCTAGTATTACTACTAAGTCTCTGTCTAGATTGTTCGTGGGTTTGACTGATCATCAAGTAACGTTCGTGCATAGCATCGTCGTCCCGCTCTCTCCTTCTAGCCTGCTGCTGCTGCTGCTGCTGCTGTTGCTGCTGCTGCTGCTGCAACTGCTGCTGTATTTTTTGCTGTTGCTTCTGCTGTTGCACGAAACTGTAACTGCGACCCAACGCCTGCGGCACACCTTGTAAAATAATAATCAAACCGTGCATTACAAAAGACGCGTACAGGAAGGTGGCGAAAGAAACATAAAGATTATCTCGCTTACAGTCCAGTGAGTTATTGCACGCTGCGTTTCGCCTGTACTCCTTTTCCCTATCGCGCTCCCGCTCTCTCTCCCGCTCCACCGCTTCGAGACCACCTCGTTGCTTCGACGAATTACCACTATGTACGCCGGCGGACCTGCCAAGACTCTTGGCAGGATCGTTTCTCTCGGACAGCATCGCGCCGTACACGTCCCTGACATTCGCTTCCGAAAGCGACGCGGAGCACCCGTGATGCCTTCTACCTATGCTACCCGTACCATCCTGCGGCTGCTTGTTCACGTTTCTCGAGTGCATGGAACTCGGATAGAAGGCTGGCGGGTTCGTTTTATCGAGACTATTGACTCGCTCCCGGTGATGCTGCTGCTGCATCTCCCGTTCTCTATCCCTATGGTAACGATTGCCACTCTCCATTAAGGAACCATACTTCTCGCCCTGCGATTTGTAACTATGGCTAAGTTGAACCTCAGGCGGGCGATACGGCGGCATTTCCTGCCTGAAGACTCGGGATTCCATCAGAGAATCGCGATATGGCGATGTACTCGGCTCGGGACCGTACGAGCCTCTACTACTTTCTCTACCTGAAACACCAGGAAATGAATCGATACTACCGGTAGGATATGCACGCGGCCGCTCGCGCGTAACAAAGGAACGTGGCTAAAAATGTAAAAACATAAATGTGTCATACATTCTTACCATTTTTACTTTTGTCTAGGTCCAAGTTTCCAGCCCTACCTTCGCGTTGCGGGTCGGCGAAAGTCTTCTTCTTGAACAGAGGTGTGCTGGTCGAGAGGGACAGGCCCAGCGGCGGCGGTTCTCCCACCAGCGACACGGACTTCTGATTCTTCACGCTTTCGAGTGTCCCGCTCTTTCCGTGACACCTGGTCTCCAGGGTGCCGCCGCTGTGCTGCCTGGGGGAGGATTGCGCGGCGTTCGCCGGCGTTTGCGCGGCCGTGCGATGATGGTGCCTGTGCGGCGAGTCCAACAGACGATAACTGGTCGACTCCAGGGAAGTCCTGCTGTGCGAGACGGAGCTGTCGCTGGATCTGCCGGAGTCCTGCGAATGATTGTGCTGTCTGGTACGTGCCGCAGGTACGTCATGGTGCCTGTGATGCCTGTTATTGTGATGATGATGGTGGTGATGGTGCCGCCTCGCGGACGGAGACGGAGAAGGAGGTGAGGTCTGTAGGTCGACGCCAACCGCGGAGGTCCGCGTTTTGTTCGCGATACCAAGAGAGAGAGCTTGCTACGAGAAGAGAAAACAAACGTAGCAGTCATGCGGAATCTGTCGAAAGTGACAATGACGTCTAGTTAAATTTAAGAAGAAATACAATATTCTTCAAACTATTCCTTCATTAGTCAACTGTTTATTTATATAAACAGCTCGATATTAATATTATTAAATTTTCTCTCCAATTAGTGAATCTTTTCGCCGCCACTTAATCGATTATCTCACACACGTTCTCGCTCCATAATCTCACGATAGCTCGATCGTTTAAAATAACTAATATTTACCAGCGTCGGAGTCAGATTCGCATTCTCCTGGTGGTTGAATCGCGTCGAGCGACTAACCGAAGGGGTCTGCGTCTGCGTCGAGACGGATTCTTTCTTTCTCGGCTCGGTTGTTACCTTTTGAGTGTCGGGCGTGCTACCGCTCGGAGGCTCCGTGTTCTGTTTTAGCGTCTACGCAAATATAAAAGAGGCATATGAATTATAAGCGAATAAAAAAAAGGAGTACAAGTTGACGACAGTCGATTGCCGACCTTAATCTTCTCCATCTATATAAAATATAGGGGGAGTACGACAACGTACGCGTTTCATAGTGCGTTTGGCACAGATAAGATCGCAATTTATATTATCATTCGTGTATCGTTTTAGAATCTAATATTCGTGAATGTATGCGCGGGGAGAATTCTCCTTGAATATTTTCCCTGCACTGAAAAAAAATCTGATAGATTCGACCAGTCGTCTGTTCGAAAATGAACGAATCAGAATTCCTTTAGGATTTACCATGAAAGATATTTCATAACCAGAAGTTTGCTACACTTCACTACACATCTGGTAAATCCTAAAGGAATTCCGATTCGTCCATTTTATAACAGACGACTGGTCGAGTCTATCAGATTTTTGCTTTCAGTGTGCAAATCGTGCGATCGCGGGCCGACGTGGCATTTTGAAGAGCTTCGCGAGAGTCTTTTGGGGGGGAAATTCCGCTAGTAAAATGTACGGTGCGATTTCGAAAAACCCTCATAAAACGCTTCCGAGACGCCACGTTGTCCCGCGATTACGTGATTTTTCAGGATAAACTTGCAGAGAGAATTCTCTCCGTGCGCGCGCGGAATGTACGCGGTTTTCCGGGACATCTGGCAATCATATTTTCGTCAAACTCGAAATGAACGAGCGGCATTATCACCGGCGAGAAGTTCCATGATAGCGGCGCGGCATAATGTAAACCAGAGTTTTTTCTCCCCGCCGCAAACGTCTATTTATAGCCGGGAAGAGAGCAGACGCGCTCTTGCACACTTATATCCACGCCGCTTTAAGATACGCGAGTTCTGTAACGCGCGCTATCCCGGAGAAGCTCGCAAATCATTGCACACATTCGCGAGCAACGTACGTACGTTCACGCGCGTGCGAGGGCGTGTGTATACGCGGAACTCGCGGATTCCGCGCTGAATTCGCAAGCGAGCGCAAAGTTCCCGGGCGCGCCCGGGCGATCTTATCTGGATCTTTATCCGCGGTTACACTCGAACGAGGGAGGGCCGAACTGGCCGATTCGATCGACGTGACTCACGCGTGCCGATATCGCACGGATGCGTTTCAAATCATATCGCGGGCATACGTTTGTTTCCCCTTTACCTGAAGCTTCGCCAGCGGTATGATGTCGCAGTCCGTCGGGCGGTGCCACACGGTTTTCTGAGACGTCGCGTTGTAGTAGTAGAACCGCGAGGTGTTCTGATCGAACAGCTCCCACCACTGATTGTTGTCCGTCTTCTTCCTGCGGGTTTTATTAAAACGGGACGTGTACCGGGCGTACCGTAATAACACGGTGACTTTTAGTACTTTCTCCGAGGTATAACTTTCTCTAAAATAATTACCGCGGTAACCGCTTGGCGATGATTAACCGATTGCGCGCGTAATCGAGTTAAACGCGCGGAATGCAATTTCGAGACAACAGCTAATTGGGCGCCGGACGTTCGATTCAGCCTCGAAAGTATTTAATATCTGGCGAACACAAGTGGAAGACTCCGTGGATGTAAATAAAAAAATAAATAATTAAAAAGGGGCCGCGAGAGTCAAACGTAGGTGGTCGCACGCGTGTAACGTTTAACACAAATGATCTTGCGCATACGAATATAAAGCAAATCGACTGATCCCTTCCGCGAGGTCGTATCTCGATTTCACGCAACTTTCAATTTTTGTTAGTTGAGTGTGTAACAGTTATAATGACTCTTCTCTTGTCTCTACCCAGTTTATCACTGTGCAACGGTATTGGCGATTGACTAACGACGCAGTAATTATTATCCAGGCATGAATCTCTGGTTGATTGGCGATAGGCTTTCAGCATTGCAATTTGCGATTTCAGATCACTTGAAAAGGGCCCGAATCCGGGGCCGAAACGTTGTAATCGGTTTTTTTTTTAAATAAAAACATTGGCCAGGTCGTTCAATCTTATGAAATTTGTTTCCATTTCTGTTCTCGAACTGGTCCAGAATTTAGGCACAAAAACCAGGAGTTGCGTACAATCTAGATACACACTGGAGATCAAATTTTCGCTACCGTTAGCTAATATCATGGTTTGCTAAAGATATTTTGCTGCCGTAACTATAAATTTCTGCAGCACAGCAAACGGTTTACTGCCGCACCTGATGCAGCAGGCACAGCAGCAAAATATTTAGCTATCACAACTGAACGTTAGCTGCCCACCTTTTACAACTGAAATTTAGTTGCCACGTGCGGTCTTCAGCAGCTACACTTTTCTTTCCGCGCGACCTTGCGAAAGAGATCAGTCGAAATACAAGATCAATTTAACATTTGACTTGCGTCCATTGCTACCAAGTGCAGATTAACTTTAATCTCGGTTCAACTGAGTTTTCAACTTTTCCCAATTCCTGCAACCAGAAGAAGATAAAAAGTAAGTTAAGCCGAGAATCAAAGTTAAGCGGCACCGGCGAAAGTGGACGTCGGAAAAACGACATGGATTTACATGCGAGAGAACTGATTTCGAGGGCCGATTCCCTTCCATTAATCAAACATCGGGTCCTCCCACAAGTAACGCGGTATAAAACGGGAACTCGGTTTATTCCCGCGCTCAAACACGTTCAGGTAGCTTCCTGCATGTCTGCTTAAGGTTTTACCTTTCGGCTGGTTCTACAATAGACGCAGTAAGTCGCGAGCCGCAGGAAATCGGTCAACAACGGTCGACTATTCTTCTCATATTTGGCTGTGATTGGTTCCTTGCGATTTGCTGCGTCCATTGTAGAGCCATTGTAGAGCCTTGGGCTGGTATTACATTTGTCGTTGCTGAATAGAAACTGTCTAGATACTCGAGAATTTTACTACCTTGCAGCCAATCAACGCGCTTGAAAAATTTTGTCGCACGACAAACGTAATATTAGGCTTAGACCTGGTTTCACCAACGTTGCTTAACTTAAAGCTTAGCTTGATTCGTTCTTCGTCTCTTTCTAACTGTTACTCCAGAAAGAGACAAACATGAATTAAACTAAGATTAAAATTGAGCGACGTTTAACTTTAAGACTGGTTCAGTCCATTCTTGGTCTCTTTCCAATTGTTACTTTAGAAAGAGACAAACGTGAATTAAACTAAGGTAAAAGTTAAGCGACGTCTGGTGAAACTGGGCCTTAGGCCCAGCGTCGTTTAACTTTAATTTTGGATCAGTTCGTTCTTTGTCTCTTTCCAACTGTTACTTTCGAAAGAGGCAAACGTGAATTAAACTAAGATTACAATTAAGCGACGTTTGGTGAAACCGGGCCTGCGACACGTAGAAAAAGCGCGAGCAATAAATGGAAAGACGTGGGCTACGATTGAAAGCCCGAAATGGCCCGAGACTCGGGAGACATGCCCGAGAGACCGCGTTACTCGCGGGGATGACCCAATAGACGCGAGGCACGAAAAGCACTAGTGAGAATCGATATGAGGCAGCAGCTTACACAGGTACACCAGGCGGCGGGTCCCACACGCACTCGCCCGTGGTCAGGTTCGCGTACATGTGCTCCTTGGTGCGCGGCTCTATGATCTCCACCCATTCCATCCTGCTGCAATTGTCAGCCATTAGGTGTCTACCACGGGGAAGGGTGGCTCTACAGAGCCGCCCGCGAGAGAGGTCTATTGTCGAGTCCCCAGGATAACCCGGCGGCGACGAGGGCACCGCGTCTCCGTGCGCGCGGGACGGGCTCTAAATCGCACTCTTTTCCCCTAAACTTTCACTCGCCGTCTCGGGCCGCTCGCCTCCGAGACAGTTTTCTTTTTTCTCTCTCTCTCTCTCCCTCTCCTTTCGTCACTCGCGAACGACGCGCGGACACACTCGGGTGCATGTGCATGTGCCTCGACGATAAAATCGTAAGGCGGGATCGATATGTCGGAGTCAGAGGCGGCCCCGGGTGCGAGGCACCGACGGGAACACCGTCGGCACCGTGGCCTCCATTTTTTATTTACATCCGCCGCGTTGTCTCCCGCGGGGACCAGGGTGGCCGGACCGGCAGGACCTGCCGATGCCGCGTTAACGCGGGGCCGGGGAACCTAAGTGGAGCGTCGCGCGGCTCGGCCTCGCCGAGGGGAAAAAAATCGCCCTCGTCGGGACGCGGGGATGGGGGGGGGGCGGAAGGGAGGGAGGGGGGTTGGAAAGAGGGACACGGGGACCGCTCAAGATCGGCGGCGCGCGAGGATGCCCACGGAGCGGCGACGATCGGGGCGAGAGCGAAGGAGGGTGCTTCCCCCGTCCGTCCGCCCCGCCCCGACGAACCCCGCAAATTGATAGGAATGCTGGGCCGCGATGTGCGACGCGAGAGGCCGTCCGCTCTGATGTCATGCTGGCGGTTTAATTGGCTGAAATAGGCCGCGGAGATCCATTCGCGCGTGGCTCGCGAGCGCACGTAGCGGAGTAGCGCTCGCGCGCGCACGACGAGGAGGAGGAAGGAAGGAAGGAGAACGTGGAGAGAGAGAGAGAGAAGGGAAGAGAAACGGAGGCGCGGCGCCCCGAGAGGAAAACGCGCACGGCGTGCACGGCGCCCGACGCGAACGAGCCTGTAAACGCGGACTGCGAAAACGTGTGTATGCGCGCGCGCGAGAGAGAGAGAGAGCGAGAGAAAGAGAGACCCGCCCAATCGCGACGGCGGCTAACTTGAGCGCGAAAGGAACAAGGAGCGCAGCGGGAAATCGCGCTCGGTTATCATCAGAAAAGCGACGGCGAATTCTCTTCTCCCTCTCTCTCTCTCTCGCCCGTACGAAGGGAAAGAACGGGACGGAACGGGGGGAGAGAGCGAGAGAGAGAGAGAGAGAGTAGAGCGCGAGACGGAGACGGAGAGAGGGAGAAAACTGGGACGGGTGACTGTAAAAAAAAATTCACTATCGATCTGCGAGCGCACCGTCGGTCCCGTGTGTGCCCGCGTATGTATATATCGCGACGGCCGCGTTTTCCCTAGAGCGGTAAACGCGCGCGGCTGCACCTCCGGGGTGCAGCCGGGTGCAGTCGAGGGGACTCGGCAGGAGTTCCTCCTCGCCGAAGGGCCCTTACCCGTCGGATGCCATCTCGCGCGCCTCCGGCCGGTCCGCCGTCCTCGTCGTCGTCCTCGTCGCCGCCGCCGTCGCCGCCGCCGTCGTCGTCGCCCCCTCCGTCCACCGTCTCGTCGCCGTCGTCGTCGCCGTCGGCTCTCGCCTCGTCACCGTCGTTGCCGCGACGCGCAACGAGTGCAGCGCGGTGCGGTGCGCTGCCGCGCTCCGCTCTACCACTCCACTCCAGTCTCAACCGCCCGCCGCTACCCTTGGCGCGTCACCCTCACCGCCGACGGTCGCCCGCACGCCCCGACACTTGTCACTGTGACGATGATGACACTCGGGATGTCGCAACGTCCCATTTCCGCGAGCGCGAGCAGCGACGCGGCCCCTTTATGGCAGCCTCGCGGCGGCCATCTTTTTTCTTCTGTTTAGTTCGTGGTTTAGTTCTCGCCGCCCCGCCGCGCCGCCGCCGCCGCCACCGCCGCCAGCACTCCCCGCGGCTAGCAGAGAGAAACCCGAGAGCGGCCACGCCGGCGTTTTACTGGATCGATCGAACGACTTATCGACGACGCTAGGCATGCATGCAGTCGCGTTTGCCGATCGAGGAAATTGCAGGGAGAGATTGACCCTCGTTGTTATCGACTCCGCGCGAGTCTCATTATTGTCACCCGCGAATACGACTAATTGACGAGAATTATATCTCTGAAAGGTGGAAGGAGGACGCGCAATGTGTAGCAGAGGAAATGAAAACAACGAGAGACAAATTGCCGATATTCACAAACGTTTCTCCCTCAGTTTTTCTTTTTACAAATACGATAGATATATTAATCAAGTCCCGCGCTTATTAAATCTCGATTTCGCCCAAGTAGATTTGCTTGTCGCTAGATCCCGAGCACACTGAAACAAACGCGACATCGTTACTCGTCGAAGTACAGTCGAGAATGTACGAATACCTTCTCTACATTCGCACGGGAGATCATTCATTCCGTTAAAAGTTATCTCTGTCGCACCTATGGGTTCCTTCGGATGGAAATCGATGTCGTTCACAGATCCATTGTGTCCTGGTAGTTTATACAATATCCTACGACTCGTGGTGTCCCAGATGTAATGGAATCGGTCCGACGAACCCGCCGAAACTTTGCTACCGTCCGGTGACCACGCGCATCTCAGAAGATTCTGAAAAGATAATAAATTAGCATAGCTCATGTGTGTTAAACACAAATTTCAAGAAATAAAGAACTGAGAGCCGTGACAGGGTGGCGGTGTCTAAATATTTTATTCAAAGTTTATTGCGAGAAATTATCACCTCGGCCAGGGTTCTGAAAAGAGCGATGTAAAGAGCCACGTATCTCCCAGATACATCTTATCTATAGCGATTCTCAACCTTTTTCATTTCATGGTACAAGCTATAATTACTAAATACTCATAGTATTATCCAGGGTTGGGAAGTATACTCGTTACTTGTAACGAAGTTACTTTTTTTTTTGCAACTCGAACTTAACTTCGTTACTTTCTGTCCAACTAACTGCAACTTAACTCAGTTGCATTTTTTTTATAACTAGTAACTAATTTAACAGTTACATTAATAGTTACTTGATACATATATACATATTTCATATGTATTTATTTTATTATTTTATATGTATTTTATACGACACCTTTTCAAAGTTGTGCTGATGCCCGGACAGTATCTTGACGCAGCGCTCATAGGGCGCGAACGGCCTCACGTCCCATATTTTGAGCGTGTTATCCATGGCGTTGGAAAGTATGTACGATCCATCGGGGCTGAGGCTGAGTCCGGTAATGGTGTCGGTGTGTCCCTTCAATTTGTAGAGCACCGCGTTCTTCCGAAGATCCCACACCTTTATGTCGTTGTCGATCCCGCCGCTGATCACCTGTTCCGCCGTATCGTTGAACGTCACTGCGGTCACCTGACGACGTTACATCATTAAAGTTTGCACTTGGACACGCAACTGGCGCGTCGTCATTCAGTAGGAAATACTTTTGGCCGGTACCTGATACGTATTGTTCAACGTGTAGCACTGACCCCGCTTCCTAGGATCCCAGACACGTATCGTGCTGTCGTCGCTGCCCGAGCAGAGCAGCGTGGGTCCCCGTCGCGCCCCTGACACGGAATTCACGAACGAGGTGTGGCCCTTGAGCTTCTTGACTCGCGTCCCGGCCACTATATCCCACAGGCCCAGCGTCATGTCCGTGCTGGCTGTGTACAGGTGATTACCGTCTGGACTGAAATGTAACTCCATCACGGCACCGCTGTGTCCAGTCATGATGCCAATGTTCTCGCACTCCCCGTAAACATTCCAGATAACTGCAAAGACGCCCGACACTTTGTTAGACAAAATACATCGAGGTTTACTCACAGACTTCTGTATACTACTGGACTGCCACTGTCGAGCTGAAAAGTGAGGCGAGGGTGCCACCAGATCTTGTTAGGTAAATAAAGTAGTATGCATGCATCGGTCTATCACTGACACACTACTTTATACTAAACATATGAGAACACGCCAATGTGGGCCACAAGGTAAGATGTAGGTAGCCCAACTTGTAAATCTTGTAATTTTTCTGAAAATTGTGAATCTATATACCGTTTTCTTTCCACATTAGTTCTACGCGCCAATTTCTTTTTCGGACATGGAGCAGTTTTCTTATACGTGGAATTATTATCGTCAGCAAATTCGTGTATTCAAATCGATTACTTGAAAGTTTATTACGCTACTTTATTTACATAGCTAGACATGGCAGAACTCTGTCTCACTTTTCAGCCCAAAGGTAGCAGTCCAGTAGTACATAGAAATCTGTGAATTTGAACACAAATACAGTACCGGCAAAACTGATATCACCTTTCGATTTCTTGAGCATAACTGGTTTTAAAGCGATTACTTCCTTTCGTTCGGCTTCAAGCTGCACGAACGAAACATTCGAAAATCACGGTTTAACTCGTCAAATTTTATTACACCATTATCAGGTATCCGTCGCAAACTTATGAGCACATTCGAGGCGCATTGGCGAAAGCTGTGCTCGGGAAATCTACAGGCGATATAAACTTCGGTACCGCATGTCCCGTTCGCCGCGCAAAACCTACAGATCTGTCGATCGAATCCCGTGGACACGAGGTACTGTCCCTCCGGGTGAAATTCTATGGAGAAGATGTCTCCCTGGTGTCCCTCCAGCAGCATTATCATCGACATCAGGGCGGACGTCCGCGGTGGGCCCTTGAACATTTCATTGCGCGAGCAAACGTTATTTCTCCCCCGAGGTACACGCATAAGCACTTTGCGAGGTTATACTCACGCTCTGAACGACCGCCTTCTCCCTGCTGCTGAAGACGACCTCATTCTTGGTTCTCTTCGACGCGGGCACCAGCGCGAGAATGTCGTCCCCCTTTCTCTTGTCCAAGATCGGCATTTTGAGGGGAATATTCAGCTTGATTCAACTTCGAGCACGACGGAACGTTTCGGGAACGTTTATTTACACGATATGCGTCGCGTCCCGGTGCACCGCAGCGCCACTCGCCTCCACTCTCGGAACACTCGGGCTCCAATCCGAACGCGCGCACGGTTTCCCGCAGTCGGTAACGTCAACGCTCGTCTGTTATCGACTGCGATTTTCGTGCGTAAACCGAGGGAGCCAGCTGACAGTCGAGTTTGAAAATGTATTCGGATCGGGATGAAATCACACGGTACGGGAATCCGCGTGCGGATAGGGGATGCGTGATTCAAACACCCAATCAGCGCGGGATAGAAAAATATGGGAGAGCAGTGATTGGCTGCTCGAATCACGCACCCCCTGTCCCGCACGCGGATTCCCGTACCGTGTGATTTCACCCGCAGGGTCCAACACGTGACGCACTCGTGAATGTTCTTTCCAGCTGAAACGGCAGCACGGCTCAGTTTATCTTTCTCCTTTCGGTATGGAGAGAGAATAATGAACTCTGACCAGTGCAGCTAGTGCAGAAGAACAAATCCTGCCGACATTTGCAAAATGAAGAGTGCAAATAGTAACTAATTATTCGGTCCGATAACGAAGTCGTGAATACTGCTCTAAGCGTATCAATAAAGTATAAAAAGTGGTCTCTTTCCCCCGCGGAGGCGGGACGAGCGTTCGAAGACTAGAGAAATGGATGACGAACGTACCGGGGACCGCGGAAAGGAAGATGAGCCGATAAAGTCCGGTATATGTTATCTGTAAAGTCAACCAACCTAAGCAAAGTACAAAAGAATCGTGGAACGAGAATACATACGATTAACGAGAAACTGTATAGATACTTTTGCCGTCCAATTACAGTCATGATTAATTTTCACACTGCCAGACTGACTTTTAGGTATGAAGCATGCTGATGAAGCAAATGATTTTTTAGGTACTCCGAAGGATGCCAAGACACTTGCCCTCTTCCCCGAGAAACACGCTGTTGCTAGCGGAGGAGCGACGTCAGACTCGCCAGTTGAAATGACATCTGAAAGGACAACTACAGAGAAGAGAGGAAGGGGCAGTACTGAGGGAGCAGTGCAAGAAAAGAAAACTACACAGGGGACAAGAATACAAAAGATTAAGAAGACTTGTAAGATTAAGAAGACTTGTAAGAGAGATTCGACTTTGGAGAAGAAAGAAGATACAGATGACAATTGCACTGACCAGAAAAACAAGGAGAAAGAACTATTTCAGGTGCTAGAGGATTTTCTGGCAACAGAGAATCAATCACAGTCCGGAGAGAAAACAAACGAGAGCCAAAATCACGATGATACTGAAATTGTTACGTTAGAAGATCCTTTAAAGAAACATCGGAAGGAAGAGCCAATACATTGTAGCAACCAGGAAGAACTTGCAGAGGTTAAACAAGAGGATGGAGATTTAATAAAGGATTATCGTGAAGGCGAATTTGATGAGAAGCAAGAAGGTCCGGTACATGTCATCTGCAAAGTTAACCAACGTATGCAAAGTACAAAACAATCGAAGAATATGGCCAAGATTAGTAAGAAACTACATAAATATCCAATTGAGATTGACATGATCAATTTCAATACTGCTAGACTCACTTTTCGTGATGCTGACAAGGCAAATAAGTGTTTGGACACAATGAAGGATGATAGTACACTTACTCTGTTCCCCGAGAAACAAGCTGTCACCAGCGGAGAAGCGATTTCAGACAGGCCAATTGAAGTGGTGGAAAAAGGGAAAAATGTTACACAAAAGAAGAATACGTTAAGTCGTTTAGATAAATGTACAAAGGAAGAGCCAATATATCGTATTAGCCATGGAGAACTGGTAAAGATTGAACAAGAGGACGGGGATTCGATAAAGAAACATCGTGAAAGCGAATTTGATGGGAGAAAAAGATTTGCCGCGAAGCTATCAGAACATGTTATCTGTAAACTTAACCAATGTATGCAAAGTAAAACACAACGTAAAAATAAGACTGAGATTCAAAAGGTACTAAATAAATATCCTTACCGTCCAAATAAAATAGACATGGTTAATTTTAACACTGCTAGACTCACTTTTTGTGATGCTGCCAAAGCAAATAAGATGTTGAATACAATGAAGAATGATGAGACACTTACTCTCTTCCTCGAAAGACATGCTGTCATTAGCAAAAGAGCGATCTCAGACTGGCCAATTGAAATGATAGAAGATGAGAAGACTACACAGAAAGGAAGAATAAAAAAGACCAATGAAGAAGATTCAACTTCGGAAGAAGAAGTGGATGACAAAGGAAACGAGAAGAGAGAGACGGTAAAAGATAGTCCAGCGAATGCTCTGAAATTGTTTAATTATTTTCAGTGGTCGTTAATAGAAAACCAATCGCATTCCGAGAAGAGAACAAACGAGAGCCAGAATCAGGATAGCGAATTTATTACGTTAGAAGAGTTTTTAGGGGAACGTACGAAGGAAGAGCCAAGTACAATATATTACAATCACCAGGGAGAGCTAGTAAAAGCTAATCAAGAGGACAAGGACTTACTAGAAATATATCATAACCGCGAATTAGCTGAGAGAAGATTTGATGAAAAGCAAGATGTGGTACAAGTTATCTGCTTAATTAGGGAAAATATGCAAGATGTAAAAGATCCGATTAATTGGATTTATAACAAACTATTTCCCTATTGTCCAACTCGGGTAATCATGATTACTCCTAACAAGGCTAAACTCGTTTTTGGTAGTGCTAAGAAAGCAAATAAGATGTTGGATAAAATGAAGGACGATAACAGGCTTACTCTCTTCATCGACAGACATTTTGTCACTACTAAAGGAGTGATCTCAGACTGGCCAGGTGGAATACCGGAATTGTGGAAAGTCATCGATACGAAGAAAGACATAATTAAACTGCAAAGGATGACTAGACGATACTGGGACGCTAAAAAGAAGATATCCAAGGTAAAATTAACCAGTAATATATCAGTAGTATTTAAGGATAATTTCCCCAGAGATTCGATAGCTTTTCGCAGTAGTATGGGTCGCTTGGCGATTATGCCATTTGTCGAACCGGTCAGGCAGTGTCTCAACTGTTATCTTTTTGGCCATGGTGCATCAACGTGTAGCAGCACAAAAAAATGTGCGACGTGCGGTAAAAATGAACACGGTATGTGCAAGGCCAGGAGGCTACAGTGCCGTAACTGTGGAGAGGAACATGAATCCACATTCAGAGGTTGTAGGGAATATCTAAGGAAGATGGATATTCACACTGTTATGGCAGTTAATAACTGTTCTTATTATGATGCGGAGAAAGTTGTAGATAAAGAAAACGACAAACTAACAGACTGTTCTTTCCGGAATATGTCGAGTCTGACTAAGCAACGGAGTGTAACAGTAACTAGTCAGGGAAAAAATTTCAACGTTGCAGGAAGTAGCGACAAGAATGAACGGAGACATGTAGGATCAGCACAAAACTGCTCTGGAAAATTGGATACTGGAAAGGGGAAGATAGCTAAGGATTGCGAAATCATGAAAGCGACTTTTATAAGGACAAAGAAGAAACCAGGGATGACTAGAAAATACCCGAACAACTGTAAGAAATACGATAAAGACGCAGTGATGAATATAGAGAAAAGGATACAAAACATCGAAGACAGGGAGAAAAGAAATAGAGAAGAGAAACGTGAAAAAAGAAGAGAAATGTTGGAAATGAGAAGTCAATGGAAAAAGGCCACCAGGAACATCTCGCCAGAATATAATTTCTAACCATGCTAAAAGTCTTACTGTGGAGTGCGAGAGATACGAAAGAAAAAAAAGAAAGAAATATTTCTAATTGTGATATTCATTTTCGTATTTATTTTGCGATTATGCAGTAAAATTAATGATTGAAGTGAGTTTTTTTATTTCGAGTTTAATTTTGTTTGTAATTAATATTAAGTAGAAGTGAGAGTATTCTTTTATATTAATCAAAAAAGGTATGGAAATGCTGCATACGACAGTCTTTGAAGATTCCGTTCGATATTCGCGGCAAAAGCCTTCGTAATATAATTTATACCAAGTATGGTGCACCAATTATTATTCAGATATTCCTCAGAAGAGGATGGAAAGGAACAATGCTATTTTCTGATGGCAGAGTATTGTTAGGCATCTTAATGCCTAACAATACTCTGGATTCTATACTCTAGTTAGGCCTTAAAGGTCATAAAAAACGATTCATTGTCGGCATATGTTAACAAATATATATTGGTTTATACTATAAATAAATATATTGTTATTAAGAAGTTACACTCTAAGTTACTGAGGAATTATATTCTAAATTACTAAGGGCCAGTTTCACAAACGTCGGTTAACTGACCAGAGTTCAGTCAACTTCCTATCTTTTTCTATTTTGTTATCTAAGAAGAGACAGAGAATCAATTAACCTTCGGTTAGCAGCTAACCGAAGTTTGTGAAACTGGCCCTAAGGAGTTACATTCTATGTTATACATGTACCAATTTAAATGTATATCAAAATCAATTGTAATTGTATGTATGTCCCATACAGCACCAAAGCTTTCAGAAACATTGCAATAATGTTTCTGAAAGCTTTGGTGCTGTATGGGGTATGCGTCCGCGGGCACATCAGGGCTTCATAAATAATAAGCAGATTTCCTGGCGAAAACGGGGACTTCGATGAATGCAGATATCTCGACCGTTTTTTAAAATAAGAGGCATGGAAAGCATTCCACTCGGGATACTCGAAAAATCAAAGCGATTACAAAGTCCGAAGTGTACTTCCAAAACTATTACCAAAGAAATGGGAGAAAAAAATCTACGAAGTACGAGCGGCGGGATACTTTTGTACTTTCGTACAACGGGAAACGAGCGATTTGTCATAATTTGAACACGCTTTATTGGCTGAGAAGGGGTATATCGACCAATCCAGATCTAACCACGGCCATGAATACGAGGATATAAATCACGTGATCTGACGACGCAGCGGATGCACAAGTCGGAAGTGTCGGAACGAGAGAAAACCGAGCGTTTGTAGCTTACACAATTCGCGGATCCCCGCCAAGGAAAACCGGCTGAAATCGAGTGCGTTACTTTCGTTCTCGCGAAGACAATCAATAGGATATCACAATAGTTCGAGGGCACAAACAATCTCGCATCACATAGCCCGAAGGTGGGGCCGAAGGCGCCAATACTCCAGCGAAGTTCTAACCAAAAAAAAGAAAAAGAAATTGTCACCGCTGGCGCCAAGACGCGCTCGCCGCGGAGACACAGAATTACAAATACGACCCGAGGTTCGTTGCACTACTTCGAGACGCCGAGTGAAACCTAGAAACAGACCAGCTCGGGTCCTCGGCGCGAAGTAAGAAAAGGGTGTTTTTTTTTCTCTCCTCGCGATTGAGGTTAGAACGCGCGACCGCCCATGAGTGCGCGCTAGATCGTTTCCCCGTTGTCGGTCATCGGGACGGTAGACTGATTAGCGATGCACGAACGTGGCCCGAGGCGAGCCGACGTATGGCGCGATGGAGCAACAACGCGCGAGAGCGGCGGGCACGCCCGACGATGATGCGGCGAATTTGCGGCGGCATTAGATCCAGCGGCGTGAATCATGCACGGGCGTGAAGATGAGCGGGGCAAGACACAAAATCTGGTTCGTATCTCTTTCTCTTTCGTTTGTCGCGTTGTCCACTCGATATACTTGGAAGCAGCCCTCTCGGGGGTTTTTTTTATATTTTTTATTAAACGCTTCGAAGCATTGGCAGCATCGAGTGGACCGCGTCCGATGATGAATGCAGCGCGTAATCTGTTTTTTTTTCACCGTATATGCACGTAATTGCTGTCGCTGCAGCATGGTCTCGGATTTCTTCTATCCGAACATGGGCGGCGTCGAGGAGCACATCTTCAACCTGTCGCAGTGCCTGCTGGAGCACGGGCACAAAGTGGTGATCCTCACCCACTCCTACGGGGACAGGGTAGGGGTGAGATACATGACGAACGGCCTGAAGGTACGTGTGTCTTCTCGCCTCTGCTCGATCAGTCTTGGAATGGCGCAGCGCGCCTTCTCTCTTTTCCTCCCCTCACGTGTTCTTCTTGCGTGTCTCAAGGTGTACTACATCCCCGTCAAGGTCTTCTACAACCAGTGTGTTCTTCCAACGATGGTGTGCTCTCTTCCGCTCATTAGGTATATCTTCATACGAGAGGACATACAGATCATACACGGCCATTCCGCATTCTCCGCCCTAGCGCACGAGGGTATGCTAATCGGCAGACTAATGGGACTGAAGGTGAGCCCCGGTCGCAACGACAATGTGGTTCAGACGGCACGGGGATGACGCTGGCGCTGTGTTTGCAGACAGTTTTCACGGATCACTCTCTATTCGGCTTCGCGGACGCGTCCGCGATCCTGACGAACAAGTTTCTCGAGATATCGCTGGTCGACTGCGACCACTGCATATGCGTGTCGCACACCGGCAAGGAAAACACAGTATTACGAGCCAAAGTGCAGAAGGAGAAGGTGTCGGTTATCCCGAACGCCGTCGACACCGCATTATTCACGCCTGACGTCAGTAAACGGAACAACGACTTCAGTAAGTTGAGATTCCGACGTCTCTCGTCGAGGGCTCAGCATTTACGAACGTGCCATTCTAATTGCCACAATGTAACCGTAAATTTCAGTTACCATAGTAATAATATCGCGATTGGTGTATAGGAAGGGCGTTGACCTTCTAGCCCATATAATACCCGAGATCTGTTCGCGTTATAAGAATGTACAATTCTTGATCGGCGGGGACGGCCCGAAGAGGTGGCTCATAGAGGAGGTGCGGGAGAGAAATCTGTTGCAGCACAGAGTCACCTTGCTAGGCAGTCTGGAGCACTCTCAAGTCAGGCACGTTCTGAATAAGGGCCACATCTTCCTGAATACAAGCCTGACGGAGGCTTACTGTATGGCTATTGTGGAGGCTGCTTCTTGCGGGTAAGCCGCAGCGTGACGCGCCCTGGCCCTCGTTGTCTGGTTTACCGTGCCTGAAATTAATTTGGAGCTTCCCTTAGAGCTTAGTTTTCCCAACGAATAGCACTCGTCGCGTTTGTCCGCCGGCAGAATTTTCGAGTAACGAAAATGAATAATGGCAAATGTAATTTTGTAGCTTGCAAGTAGTGTCTACGAAAGTCGGTGGTATCCCGGAAGTTTTACCGCCGGATCTGATTTACCTCGTGGAACCCACTGTACCTGCATTAATCGAAGGGCTGGAGATGGCTATAGCGGACTACAAAAGAGGCAACGTCGAGTGCCCTTTCGAGACGCATAGGAGAATAGGCTTATACTACAATTGGTTTAACATTACCAAACGTACTGAAATAGTATATAATTTGGTGAAACGTGAGGCGAAAAGAAATCTAGGACAGCGATTAGCTAGTCAGATACAAAGCGGCGTACTGGCCTACTTGCTCGTCGTGTCGTTGTGCTATATAATACTACAAGTTCTGGAATTTTTCGTTCCAAGAAAGGTAATGAAAAAGGCGAAATACTTACACGCATGTACTCTATTGGTTCCAATTGGTTATGCTTTCGCTTGCTTTTTTCCGTTATTGATTTAAATCACATTTTTACTTTTCAAAATTGTTCCCTGGTGTACGCACGACACATACATATATGTTGAAGAGAAAGATCTTTGTTTATAAAAATACATACAATTTTCAGTATATCGACATTGCGCGAGATTACAGCGATATACATGTTGTACCATCCAACGGGAAAGGAAAAGAAGATTAACCATCGTCGCTTGGAATGTAAACTTCTCAATGTGTTCAAGTATTTTATTTTATACTTTGGAAACATTCCAGAGACTCGTTTTCTGCAACAAACAAAAAGCTTGTTATACAGGTAATTATGACGTAATTCCCGCGAGAAGAACAATCGTTGCATTTACTGATAAATTTTTAAAGAAATATAATTGTATACATACATGTATAATGTATATACGTATAGATGTTGTACATAAGGAGATAACAATACGCAAAGTACAAATGTCATAATACCTGTATTCTACGTATGTAGAATTACAACTGAGAGAGGACTGTTTATAACAATTTTATTTATTATGTCACCCCGCTTTTGCGCGCGTGAATTTATAATAATTGCATTCGCTTTGAAATAAACGGCTTGTGGCGTTTAACATCCAAATGCCGACTCGCCAGTTCCAACCAGTTGAAATAGCGGATTTATGAAAGTAATATTAATTTGTCCATTAAATGATTTTTATTATGATACATGACATCGTATGAATCAATGCGTAACATGTATAACAATTTGTAACGATATCCAACCGCAACGCCGCTCACCCCGCATACATTTAATACATATGCTTAAGAAAGATTTATTGCATTCATTAGCATTATAAAATATCGTCGCGTGTGTTACGGAGTATCGTTCGTGCTTACTTTTAAAATCAATCCGCACTAATTTTTCAAGCAGTTAATTGTAGCAATATGTGGAGTAGAAAGGTCAATTCGTGTTCATGTAATCCCACCATACGGCATTGTTATACATCGATATCTTTCTTTTTGAGGGCTTTTCTTTTTTTTTGTATACAAGAATCAATAAAATGAGTATTTGTGGTTCCATCGTAATGTATCTTCACTCAGAATTATCCGTTATCACCCGCATACAGAGTACAAAGTACAGAGTATATCAACTTACAAAAGAAGTATACAGGTTAGTTCTGCACTCTTTCTTTTAACGACAAACTTTGTATCGTTGCATACACACCTGTATATATGTATACTTGATATTAGAAGATCTAAATTTCGAAAACGCGAATTTATTTCTAAAACAATAAGAGAGCCAAATTGAAAATATAATAATATTTATTTCATTACGTTGTACGTTAGATACAATAATAGAATATTGATACAATATCAATTATCTGTTTGTTTTTTAATTATTATTATATTATCATATCGCTTTAAACGATTTGTTTAATCATCACTATATTACTCTGTACATTAATCTATCTTTATACATAAATCTTTTCATATAAGGGTCTATGGTCTTCTCCTATTTTCGGTTTTGTATAAGAGAAGATCAACGAACCTTAGTTAACAACCATCATAATATTACGAGTGGTCAGATCTGTCACAACATTCCACGCTTATCCAACGTCGTATCTGTATCAACGCATATTAGTCCAATTATAGAAAAACAAAGCAAATATTCTTAAAAGTGCTAAAAAGTAGATACGGGTTTTTTAACTACGACATTTATAGAGTTATAAAATAAAACTTTACAAAAAGAGATACCATTTCTCTCGGCGTATATTGCATCATTTAAATCTCCTATCAAGTTTTTCGTATTTTCAAAAGTTTACTGTTACGATCGACTACGGCGCACAGAAGTCTATGCCGACGACAATGAGATCCACATATGCAGTAATCAGTGCTATCAGGATTTTCAAGTATGCTGATATCTCTCGTGTATCTTGAGGAATACGCATTACGAATATTACCTTTAGTCGCTATTGTTTCTACTGCGAAACTGAAAATTTCTAATAAAGAATACTATGCTGATTTAAAAGTCACTAGTTTTATTTCATAATTATCCTCGTAATATCAGGGAAAGTATCACTTTGAACCACTGCCGTTCATCATTCCAGAATATGATACAAGTTTCCGTTCTGTTATCAGTGTCCCATGCGTATACAATTATCGTGTATGCTCTGCTTAAAGTATTGTTACTGCAATATTATGACGGCGAAGAAGTATTAAAAGGGTGAAGGAGGAGTTCTCGTGCTTTGAAAATGCACAGAAAATTATTTGCAGAATGTATTGTGAGTAATAATAATAGAAAGTAAATTTCTTTTTCTCGACGTGTATTTGCGATGAAGCGAAAATCCATAGGATTCAATAAGGACAAATACTGACGCACTGTATACTCAGTACCGTACTTGACATAGAGGTGATGATTTTCGCGATCTCAAGCACATTCTAATATGTTACTTCTTTTTTCGTTGAACACCTTTACATACACATATTGCTATTGACTGCCACATATCCGCATACATAATTATTATCGGTCGGCATACTTTTCTCTCTTTTTTTCTTTCTTGTATATCTTAAGTGACGATGGCGAGATGAAATGTTATAAAAGTTTCCACCAACTCTAATTGCCATGTATATAGGAAAAAGTAAGTCCGTCTTCTTTCATGCGAAACATTCTTTGAGTAATATGTACAATGGAGCTTTTTTTGTGTAATGTAAGAAAATAACGCCACGCTCAGCTGGTCCTAAATAAAGACCGCTATCGACGATCGACTTTGAAGAGATGAGCTTCTTTCTTCGTGTGTTGGATTGTAAAAAGTCTTCACGTGCTCCGAGAAATACCTGTGGATCTCTCAGCACCGGTTTGGCATGTACAATAAATAAATAACGAACCGTTTAACGAAACGAGCGTCGCATCATTTCTACGAGGTAAATTGGTGAAACAGCTCAAACGCCTTCGCCATAATCGCGATCACCTACATTAATACGATCGGGAGCAGCAGTTACATTGAAGCCAAGGATTCTGTTATCCACTTTGAACATCTTTCCCTTCTTTGGTTTCTTGGATTTTCCCTGTGCAAAAAATATCTTTCAATATTCACATCTCGATACGTTTGTGCTCAATATTAATGTCTCGCTCACACTTGGTACTAATTTTTGTAAAACCGATTAAGACGATTTCTGCGGCGGGAAAGTATTTAATAAATCTAGTATAAAGCATATACCTTAACTTCTTGAAATTCTGCAGGTGCGTTTGGATTAATAGCAGGTGCTGGCTTGCACAGGTCGTCAGCTTGTGCCTGAGGACGTTGCGCTGATCGCAATTTGCTTCGTTTTTCGAGAAATTGCTTGGCGAATTCCATGCTCTGCTTGGTATCTCCAATGTAAACGCGAATGTACTCCCTAACTTCGTACGGCGTTTCGAGATCCCGCAAGAATGTAACGAACGTAGGGACTGCAAATGCATATGCGTATAGAAAGAGGAAAATCGCAAGAGAACCTAATGCGGAGACACTTACTATCCACAGACGCCTGTATACTGCTCAATGTTTTACTACACCACTGCGTGAATTCGTCGGTCTTGGCAGTGTTCTGTTCAAACAATTTCTTCACTAGTTCCTCCTCTTTCTTATTCTTATTTTTTGACGCTTTGTTATTACTATTTTGTTGTTGTTGCTGGCTAGAGGCAGGTTTTGCAATTGCAGCTTGTTTAACGGGTTGCTTCAAGGGGATGGTCGACTTAACAGGTGTAGGATCCCAGAAACCGGTAGTGCCGGCATTCGTGGACCACCCTTGACTGCTCGATGCGCTCGAATTAGCCCAATTCAAGCACTGCGATGCTGTACCCCACACCCATGCTGTGCCGGCGTTCTGTAGCATAGTCGCAGATTCCTTCTGGCCTGCTTTTTCTAATCGTTCCCTCTCCTGTTAAAATATTTGAATTTTTCATCGCGAAATGCCGTTCGAAAACATTTTATGTCCCTCGCATATTCAATGCAAGTACCTTTACCTTAGCAACGCGCTCCTGCTCCTCTTGCTGAATCTGCGCGAGACTCTTCACTTGAAGAGATTTGGAAGCAGTAGCTCTTTCCGCCCACTTGAATTGCAATCGCTTTGAAGAGTCAATTGCCGATACTTCTTGTGCAGCTTCTAGTGCTTTCTGCTGCGCTGACTGTTGCAACATCAATTGTTGATGCCGCTGCTCTTCCTGTAAGAAGACAATAAACACAGGACATGCAATACATGCACAATAAACGTGAAAACATTTACCGCTTTCTTTTCTCTCTCGAGTCTCTGAATCTCAGCAAGCGAAGCGGTATGAGTGGCGGGAGTCAGCGTGCGTGGAGCCTGAGCCCATGGGGATTTAGTTGTTTTCTCTTGAAGTTTACGCAACGCATCGTCTTCCCTTCGTCGTTGATCCGCGCGTCGTTGTTCATCTATTTCCGCCTGTCGTCGTGCCTCTGCCTCTTTCCTATAAATTTCCCATTGCAAATTTTGCTCAAGTGTATTTGATTTTTTTTTCTAATATTATGCTTTGCATACTAATATATACCTGAGTCTCTCTTCTTCCTGTCTTTTCAGCTCTTCCTCTAATTTCTTCTTTCTTTCTTCTTCTTTTTTCTGCTTCTCTTCTAGCTTTTTAAACTCTTCCCGCTTTCTCTTCTCCTCTTCCTGCCTCTTCTTTAAGATCTCCTCCTCCTGCCTCCTCTTTTCTTCACGCTTCTTCTCTTCCTCCTTGCGTTTCTTCTCTTCCTTTTTCTTTTGCTCCTCTTCCTGCTTGCGTTTCTCCTCCTCTTTCCGTTTCTTCTCCTCTTCCTTTCTCTTCCTTTCCTCGTCTTTACGTTTTGCCTCCTCAATTTGTCTCGCTTGTTCCTCTTTTTGCTTTCTCTTCGCGTTCTCCTCTTCCACTTGACGCTGCAATTCTTCTTGCTTTCTCAATTCTTCCTTTTTTCTGTCCTCTTGTAACTTAAGATTCTGTTCTTCCTAAAAAAGAAAAACCAAACAATTGATATATTTCATAATTACATGAAAAATGATACGAAGGGAGAATCAGGTGAAAGCTAATAACCAGTATCTGCTGCTCAGTTTTCATATCTTTAGCATGTAAATCCCACAAAGAACCAGGTAATTGTCCTGGTGGCATCGCGGGAATGGGTCCGACCTGAAAAAAAAACCAGGATACTAATAAGTAAACAAAATTAAAAAGAATACCAAATATCTGTGCACTCGAGTGTTACGTAAGTGTAAGTTATAACAATGTAACGCACCTGCGCTAACCAATTCTGCGCATTAAACTGGGGAACCATTTGCGGCGGGGGTTGCGGCCACACAGTGTCCATATGGGTCGCCTGCGGATGGCCGTTTGTGTTGACATTAAGTTGACGTAGCAGAGACTTTATTGGATTGTCTTCCTGCGTCGGCGTAGGAGTCGGAGCGATATTTGGCTGCTGTATGGTCTGCAAGTTCTGCATACCGCCCATCTGCTGGATAAGTTGCTGTATAGGGTCCACCGTGCCTGGATGGGTCGACGCGGTTGCATGTGGATTCGTTGGTAAATGAGTCTCAGGTTGCGTCTTCGCCTGCGCAATATCGTTATGCAAAATGAACAATGAATACGGGATTCCTAACGAGTATATATTGGGACGTCACCTGTTGCATTTGAGTGAAAAGCTGCATAACAGGATTAGCCGCCTGGGACGCGAGGTGAGGCACAAACGGATTTGTCGCTATCGGCACTTCCGGAATTTCCTGCATTCCGTCTTGTATGACATACTGTAGGATCAACTGATTCTGTTCCACAGGAGTCAGCGTAGACCAGTGCTCCGATTGCGACAATTTCGCTATCGCTGATGTTCTCATCTGCCTGAACAGCATCTGATTGTGCAGCATTTGCACATGCTGATATGTCATCAACATGGATAATGGATCCTCTAATCCAGCCTTCGGTATAGCACCAGGGGCTAGTCCAGCTGGTACAGTATTAGGAACAGGTGGGATCACCTGATCTGCCAACTAGAGATTCAAATATTCGACCTTACTAACATGAATATATCCAACAGCAATTGACAAGTCGGGAAATAATAGCGTATAACTTTGTAAGCTTTATTCTCAAAATCTCTGAATTGTCCTCCACATTGCAAAACTTGAATATTACTGGGGGGACAACGAGTAAAACGCACTCTTCTTTCGCTTTCCTCTCTGATATTATTCAAACTCTAAACTTCGTGTGTTTTTTTCAACACTATATAAATTGATTGCCGATAGAATCTATAATACATACAAGATCTGTGTGTATGTGTGTGTGAATTAATAAAATAATATTAAAATTTGAATAGACGTACGCTGCAACATATAATAAACATGTACCTTCAACGGAGGTATTGGTGGGCCAGGTATGAACGGTACTCTTCCAAACATTTTGATCAAATCACCAAGCGTGGCGTACCTCTCATCGCAAGTTCTTCTCACTAACAGTCCTGTGGTGAAGTAACCGGCCTTGCACCATTCAGCCATTTCGCTAGCTAAAAACGGTCCCTGTACTTCGCCCTGCGGATCACGGTAATACCATTTTTCCTGACTGGCCGTGGTGGGTACCGCGGAAGGTTGGTTGCCGATCGCAGGCGGGACACTCGTAGCGGCTGTTTTCTCCTTGTGACTTTCCTCGTCTGCCATTAATTTGGCTACCAGAGCGTCGGCCTCCTCCTTCATTCTATCCAGGTCATCCTCCGTTCTCTGCCTGACGTTAGCGGTTCCCGTGTTATGTATGAGCTTCGGATGCTCCAGAGGAACTTGTCGACTGGTCACGGCAGGTATTTGCGGTTCCGGTTTGACCTCCGTCTGCACATTCTCCTTATCGTGATGCGCTCCACTCGGCGGCTCGCTAGATTTCTCACCTAAAGTCTCAGTTTTATCCACACTTGCGGATCCGATAGTCTTCTTCTGCAAGAGATCCGAGGACGACGCTAAAGTCTTCGTAGGAATGCTCTCAGTTGGCGGCACAGTGGTCGACTTAATAGAGGGTGAGGTACATCTCCTGTCTTTCTCCGTAGAATCGTCCTTATCTTCAAGCGAATCTAACGGTTTTGATCGTTCCTTGCTTAATGTATTGCCTATTGTATTACTCGTATGGCGATTCAAGGATTGAACAGAACCCGTTCCGAAAGCTAATGACTTGCTATTAGATCTCACTATGTTAGAAGCACTTCCTTCCGAAACGCGCCGAGTTCTACCCTGTTGAGAAGCACCGGCCGCACCGTCCTCGTCATCATCCGAATACATTCCACCGTGAAATGCTCCCGAAGAATCAAAACTGCCGCCACTCTCAGTTGGATTCTCCGTGGCCCTAAGTATAAAATTTTTTATGTAAAATCAGGCATAAACGTATTCCGCGATTGGAAATCATCGAACCGTACCATTCAGGTAGATTGTCATGATTATCGTGATGATTCGATTCCCAAGTACGAGCGGTGCGAGATGGTAGATGATGACCTGAATCATGGGGTCTGTGGTTTCCTCGATGTTCCCATCTTCCCGGTCCGCTTCTACCCTCCTCCCCATCGCCCTCGTTTCGGTCCAATCTGTCGCGATCCATACTGCCACCCTCGCGCCAACTATTTCTTCCTAATAACATACACGCGTATCCCGTTTCATTACATAAATCTGATAATCCTCGAGGAAACATTAAGGCTAGAGTATATACCTACCCCACTTGCGCCAACTATCATCCTCCTCTCCGCTTCCACGGAGTCCAGGACGTCTCCAATTACTCTCCATAAGCGAACTACCGCTAGTCCCACGATTCAGATCCTTTCTAGGACTAGTTGACCCATTCCACTCTCCCGGATCTGAAGCACCGTTTCTTTCTGACCAGCCGCGTTCGCTTTGAGATCTATCAAATGGCCTGTTTCTCCCCTATAAATAAAATTTATAAGATACCTCCACCTTTGCGCTGACTGGCATGGATTTGTTATATTTAATTATAATAATTTGTAAGTCCCCATTCCTTGTTTTCTGCAAAATTGATAACATTAAGAGAAATATATACATATTTTGTAATTTATATATACAATCTATTGTATATGCACGCGCGCGCGCGTATGTGTGTGTACATGAAGGAAAATTGGCAAGATTTTATATCTAAAATAAAATTGAAGGACAAACTCGTTCGAATAGAGAAAGAACAGGAGCCACGTACCTGGAATGACTGGCCCTCGATTCGTATCCCATCACCGGAGTCATCGAAACCAACTCCGCGTGGATAGTGAGACGAATACAAGCCTCCTCTTCCAGTTCTACCACGTCCACGATCGACGCTGCTACCTCTTCCACGACCAATATTAGTTATCCCGCCATTCCACATGCGCTGAAAAATTTCGCACATGATACACACGATGTATTGCGAAGCGAATACGTTCGAATTTTATTCAACTCTTTAATGGCAGGAGCATCAAATTGCAATTTGCCAATTATTAGCAAAATGCAAAAGAAGCAAATATCTCTGATGAAAGTGCAGAAAAGCTCCAGTCAAGAGCTCGAGTCGCCAACATTTACATTCGTAATATATAGAATATACAATAGGGTAACAACTTCGCAGCTTCTTCTCGTCTTTACTATCGAGAATAAATGTACCCGGGCCGTTGCTTCGTGCAAAGTACACGACGCATGTGTCCAGTTACCGTTTCATCCTCTGTCATGGTTGTGAGAGCCAATGGAAGCTGAGTCTTCTCCACGTACAACGCTGGAAAAGTCATCAGCGGCTCCGAGGGTTTGCAATTGCGATCGAACAGAGCCAGCATCTCTTCCCGGCCGTATCTATGCTCTGCCAATTGATAGCGAGGTGCACTCAGAGTCGTGGTCCCTCCGCCCGCGCTACCAATATTGCAATTGTCTCCTGACGAAACCTTGCGCAACCTGCGTACAGAGATGCAACATGCAATATAATACAATACAACTGGCGTAATTCAATGGGGTATCTGTCTCGCGTGCGACACGAGTCACGTACCATTCCGGACCAAATTTCATGGAATCAGTCATGATGCTATCTCCTGAAACAAAAAAAAACACAAAGATTAATAAAAACCGATAACTTACAACCGAAAGGCAACGCGTATAACGGACGGAGGATGCTGTAAAGACGAGTACGAGAGGGCATCTTACGAGAACACCGAATACACAGAGATGAATGCATCCGTTGTGTACACGACGGGTCAAAGATGACTTCTCCTTTCGTCATATCGCGCGACTACGTCGAAGTCGACGGGACGTGGAGAGCTGGGAGGCAGCGGGATAACGCGACCTCCTGCGGGGGGAGGAAATCGGACGAGAAAATCCGCTCCCCATCGTAGCGGGAGGCTCGTCATCTGTTACGACCGGGCGCTCACGTGTGACACGTGCGACGCGACGAATCCAATTCGCGACGACCTCGCGAGTCGGGTTTCGCACGGGTCGTACCTGTTGCTCGAAGGCGTATCGGATCGCCGTCGGATCGGCGATCGCGCGCGCGCGCGCGCGCGTGCTTCGCCAAACGCACTGCGTACAGCCGACGGGGCTCGGGAATAACGAACGGTGGAGGGTGGCGAGAGAGACGACAGCGCGGAGAGCTGCGTAAATCGCGTTCACTCCTCGGGGGACTCTCGCGTCTACAGCGGCGAGGCGACCGCCGGAGCGTCGAGGGCGTCGCTACCGCGGGACAGCCGCGCGTCTCGTGCTCGGCGACGTGCTCTCACACGAACCCGCGAGAGCGGAGGTGGTCGCTCCGCGAGCCAAGGTGGCAACATTAACCAAACTTTTTTTGCCAGCGAACATCGGGATGATCTGCACGCGCCCCGGTGTCGCGAGAGGGGCCGCGCGGCCGCGCAGAAAGGACCGCCGGCCGGTTGCCGCGCGGCCGCGGCACGGGCCCGGACGCGCAGGTAGCCTTCGGGAGAAATACCTTTGCTGATCTTCGGAATTACTGAGGACAGCGATACAACACACCAATATGGCTGATGGTTTTTTTTGGAATGAAGCGCATGCGACGGCTCTCCGAGTTCGTGGTATGCCTGGGGGGAGGCGTGGAAAGTCACTAGGATCATCGCGCGTGATCACGCGTATGCGCAGAGAGGTAGCCGATGGCGTAAGAAACGATTGGGGGACACCGGACACGTGTAAAGCGCCGTGGGGTCCAGCGACGCCCCACGTACTCCTGTCAATTTTCGAGAAGGTTCTTGGAATTACGAATTTCGTCCAACTCCGGTAAAAACCACTTGCTTACCTCGATCGTTACATCCTAGCTCTTGATCCTTTATTCGTTTCCGGTATAATTTTCTAAAAACGTTTCGCGAGGTCGATAAGCATCTGCGATCGGCTAAAACACTGCCAACTTTAACGATACGCATTTACTGTCGGTATGAGAAAAAATTATCATATCGATATTTCAGCTTAAAAAAAATCTTGATCATGTATAAAGGTACCATTTCATACGCAGCGTGCAGCCGCAGCACTTCGCTGTTATTGGTTAAAATTTTTTCACGAGATGACGTATTTCCGGCGCAAAATACATTTTACTGCAGCTCGTTTCGTTGTCTTGAAGTTGAACCGGACGAACAAGTTCGCAGCAAAATCTGGAAAATGATAATAATTCCAATTAATATTAAAAAATATAACGGGAGAATGTCATCAGATGAGGTATATGTATAAAATTACAAGAATAAGGATTCTGAAGATTTCCTGAAATTTCAAGTCCATGAACTCAAACAGGATCAAAAATGGAAACTGAAAAATCGATAAAGCAACTAGACGAATGAAGTGTAGAAAATGGTACGAAGCAAAAATTCGTAGGTCAATTACAAAAATTTTATTTGTAAATTCTTTTTGCTATCTATTCTAACGTGAACAAAGTTGTGACTATTACTTTATCGTAACACACGCACACATCACACAATCATTGATGTATAAATATTTAAATAATGATACGCGGACCTTAAATATGCTTATTGTTGCAGTTTTAAAAGTAAATGTACATTAAATAATAATCAGTTAAAGTTACTACTTAATATAATCATAGTATAACTAGTAGGCTCAGTCAGTCATTTGTTCCGTTTTGCGTCGATCCCCTCTGCGCATCCGACATCGTTCTGGGCAGACCAATGAGAAAAAAGTTGTATGTTTGGTAATGTGGCTTTGACGAGTACGTACACACATACACACACACACACGTCGTTGGATCCTGCCCGGGTGTATGGTGGAATACCACGTGATCGGGACCGCAAACATTAAAGGGGCCGGCAGAGAGCGGACCTACTAGTTATACTATGATATAAACTAAAAAATTCTACATAAATTTAAATATTTTTATACGTGTAAAAATATGACGATATGTATTGAACATACAAAAAAAAAGTACCAATAATTAGTTCAAGAAATTTTATTGTATGCACAACAAAATAATTGGCTTATACGATTATTAGACAAATATTAAGCATTGAGTTTTATCACAAACGCATTGTAAATTTGAGCTTTCACGTTTTATGATTCTCTTCGATGTAAATACTACACGGCAGTATATCTGGCCATTACTTCGTTTTCTGAGATCTTTAGCAGTAAAAATTACAGCAACATAAGACTTGGCAAAATTCAATATATAAATATATGTACCACGATGAAAAATTGTAAGTAAACCGAACTCGCACAGCCGAAATACATAGCTTGACATGTTAATAGTTATTTAGATATTTATCAGCAAATTTTTTGTATTAGAAATATGTATATAGGACGTTTTAGATTCAAGCAGATTCCTAGGAACATTTTGGAATTGGAGTTTTCATCTCAAAATGATTTTAGAAGTCTACCATTGATGTTTGAAACACTCTGTATATATATATATATATATAGAATTCTATACACCTGAGCAACAATTCAACAAATTCAAAAGAACGCATGTTTGACTCAAACGTCTACGTTATCTCTTTCTTTGAAATTAAATTTCTTTTTTTTTATCAGTACAATATTCAGTCTGTATAGAAAGATGCAATATAGATATTACCCTTTGGTCAAATCTATTCCTCGTAAATCGATGACGTTATGGTCTATATAGTAAATTCAATCTCTAACTCGAAGGCCCCAAATACTGGTTCTTCGAATACCGACTGTTGGCCTTGCGACCGAACTATAAAGGTACTTGTTAATTTCGGGTTCGCGGCAGGAAGCTTGTAATGATTTGAGCACAGATTCCGACATCAAACCGAAAACGTCTAAATACAATAAACGTGGCATTTGAGCTAATCTTCCATATGCTGGTAGCGGAATGCTGTAACAACGGCTCAACGACAAGTGCTCAAGCTTCGAAAAGTTTAGTAAATTATGCATAGTCTGCATCGTAAGCATAGCGCAATCACTCAAGTCCAATTCTATAATATCCGGACACCTTTTCGACAAGTCCGTTAAATCTGAAATTTAAGAGGAAGCGCACGGTACAGCCAATAAATAAGAGACCAACAATTGTTAACAATTATTACACTTACTTTCATCAGTCATCGTTTTCCTACAACCCGCTATGTTCAAACGTGTAATGGACGTTGGCAGTGTTTTACAAAGTAAAGCCATACATTCATTGTCCAGAGAACACCATGCCAAACTGAGAGCAGTTAAGCTGAAAACAATCCATCGATCGTATTAATATATTGGAAACCGCATACACACATATAGAGAGAAAGAGAGAAACATTAATAATTTTACCATTGAAGTTTCATTAAATCCACAACACATCCAATGTCTATATTCTCGCACATTGTTAGATTTAAGACTTCTAATTGAGTGTTTTGACTAATCGCTCTACAGCAATCTTTATTTAATATACACTTTTCCAGCGACAACTTTTTCAGATATTTACATTTGGATAATAACGCAGCCAAACCGACCGGTGATATAACTGCCATAGACAAATCCAAGTACTGTAATTTACTTTCATAAGAATCTCCGAGAACTTGACTGCCTTCGCAAAAGATAGGATCTGCGATTTCCGCTTGTGCCAGTCTTAGAATTTGTACTTTTCGCGGCAATATGTGCCCTAATGTGCCCTCGTTCAAAACCTTACTACCCAAGTCTAATCTAGTCCACAATGCTTCATCTCGAGCTATTTGGCACCAACGTTTGCACACCAGCATAGAGCGTACCTGCACGCAGAATAATTTATACAAATATGTGACATGTATGATTCGTTGGAATTACAACACCTCGTTATACTTCATTCTTACCAAACATTTCTTAGGTAACCACTTTAATATTATCAAAATTATTTCATCTGACAATTTATTAAACTTATCCTCGCCCTCAACGGAAGATTTTCGTTTTCTTCTAAATAAACAAAAATTTAAATCTACACTAGTCTGCTCGTTTTTCTCAGCGGAAGTATCCAACTTTTCCTTGATAAAACTCTCCTTGAAATCCCCAAAATAATCGGCTTCCACTCTCGAGGAATAGCCAGATTCATTCTCTGTACCAAGTGCGGCTAAATCGTCCATATCATATGAATCTTGTTGAATCCTGTAAGAATGATTGAGTAAACAACGAGAAAGGATACGAATTTGAGACGTTCCAAGTAATTTCTCTTGTTACAGACCTGTCTGTGTTTGCAATTTCCAAGCTAGAACTCGTATAAACCTCCTCTTGATATCCAAAGACATCAGGTTCGTCTATTATCGATCTATTATTACCATCTAGATTCTTCGATAGGATTGTACATTTTTCGGATTGTAGTCTTTTTGTACTTTCATAATTTGCTACTCCATTTTCCAGCATACCGACGCCCATATCTTCCAGGATTTTAGGCTCTATGAGACTGGCGTTTCCCGAGTACGACCACTTTGTGTCCTTCCGAGAGTCACCGTTAAGATTGTTATCACAGCCGTTGTCCAAACGTAATCGTTTGCTGCAAACAGCAAATTCTCTGATTACAGAAAAGTACTTGAATGCGAACAGTTAAACAATTATAAATAAAGGAGCAAATTATATGTATATAAACCTGTTCCACCAGGGTGACGACGAGGAGGATTGGTCTTTACTCATTATATATAGGTAAGGATACACAAGCTCTTATGCTCCAAACTCTAACGACAGTCCCTCAACTCTTACAAAACCAGGCAAATACTGTAGGAAAGGAGGAGTTAGTAGTCGAGTTACATTAGATATTAGTCACAAAGATCACAGCCTAATATATCGTTCATGTCATATGTAGATCGCAAAAAGGAGTAGACCGGTCTATGATTTTTAAACGGAAATATAAACTTTGTAGCCACAACAGCTGAGAGAGAGAGAGATTAACAGATCAATTTACGTACAATCATGCGAAAGAATATTATTCGGAGCAATCTCCGCCGCAAGTTTACGGAGAACATACACGGTTTTGCCGTTATTTATTTGTAAAAAAACCGCACACTCCGTAAATCTCACGAGCGGCGCGCCAGGTGTACGAGGCTCGGTCCCACGCCCGAACGAAGTCCACGTCCCGCCAGGGATTCACGGGCGGAGCTGGAGTACCCGAAGACCCTCCCAAGATACCACAAGCACTGGAATCGTGGACGGAAACACGGGAGAGAGAGAGAAGTCGGAAGGGCGGCGACTTCTCGGCCAGAGGACCGCGGTACGTCGAGCGTTCGCTGCGGGGAAGCACGACAAAGCGGGCCCCGGCCGTGCGCTACCTCGGGCGCTATCGAAACCGTCTCCTCCGACCGAACAAACGCCACGAACTCGCTCGTAACCTTACTTGCAGAGAAAGAGAGAAAGAGAGAAAGAGCGCGCGCGCGCGAGCGAGCGTACACCTGCCCGTATCCCTCCCCCGCGCCCCTGAGAAAGCACACAGGCAACAGGTAGAGAAGCTCGTCGTACGACGCCGATAACCAAAAGCGGCGCGACGAGGGATGATCCGCCTCACCTCTCGGGCAGCTTGGGCTCCTCGGGCTTCGGCGGACGGGGCTCCTCGTGCAGTCGTGCGCGCTCGGCCACGCCGCCGGAACTCATCCTTGACGAGAACCGCCGATACTCCAGTCCAATCTCGCAACCCGGACCGCGGCCCTTCCTGCTTCAGATCTGCGCCAAGTCCGGGACCCGCCGCACTCCACCGGGCGTCTCGACAAAACAAATCGCTCGGCGGCGGCTCGGTCGCCGGCCCGCGCGCGCGTGATTGTCCCGCCGAGCCGGCGACGGCGGCGACGGCGATTGGCCGGCCGCCGGGTGGCGGGAACGCGGCGAGATATCGAAATCGCGCGCGGGAGCGCGCGCTCGCGCGTGCGCGCCGCCGCGCCGGTTCGCGCCTTTTCCATGCCGCGCATGCGCGGGAGACTCGGCCAATTTGGAAATTCTGCTGCGCAAGACTGCCAATCGTAATTTGCGGTTGGTCACAAGTGTTCTAATTTCCTATTTCGACTCACCGTTTGGATCTAGCCGTTCTACGCGGATCCGCGCTTCGACAAGACGTTGTTGAAATGTGACGTGACAATTCCCAGGTAACGTTAATTGTAGTTACTTTCTGTACTTGGCAATTGCGACGAAAAGGAATTCGATACGACACTAATTGTAAGTCGTAGGAGTCTCTCTAGTGCGGTAGATCCAGCTACGTTGGTGAAATTATTTTATTTCACGTCGTTGCGACTTGTGTCCATTTCCATCATCAACTTAGATTAACTTAAAGAATTGAATTAAGAACCAAAGCTAATACACATTGGCAAAGAAGTGGAAGTCGAGTTTCCAAATCAGCTGAGATTACGAGATCTCGCGTTACATATTTGCGTAAACGGTTGAGCTTAGCAAAGCGTCTACCGAGCTCGACGCATTGCAGGCGCTTTGCACGTATCGTCCACGTGCGTACATTTTTACAAACGGGAGCGACACGCTTGTAATAACAAGTATTTCTTGATCAGAACGTTTCGATTTATTAGACGGTTATCACTAAATTACTGTTAATAATGTAGGAGTAAAGCAGCCGAGAAATGACTTGGGTCCCGCTTATTGCTTGAGGCCCTTCAGCTTTCGATCCTCGGCGTAAATTCTCATCTGGAAGCTCACCAGGTCGGACGTTCTCTTGTGAAAGTCAAGCCGCGCGTCCTTCGGGCGTATCCCCTTGTCGTGCCACCAACCGTAACTGAAAATCGTCATAATTAGGGCGGCGGACGGCCGAGAGGATCGACGTGCGGACGCAGGAGAGCGACGGGAATTACGTGTGGCTGGTCAATAGCGGCGACTGGTGTAGCCCCCTCGGGTTCTTATCTTGCTCCGCGGCGAGTCTCTCGAGCGTGTCGCTTACGTCCGCATTTCGCGCGTCCTCGAGTTCCCGCGAGTAGAATTTCGGCGTGACGAAGTCCGCTGCAATTGATTTTTGCACCTCGCGTGCGCATTTATTCGGGTCGCATTACGCGCGGCACGCGGCTTCGCGTCGCGAAAGTCGAGATCGCGAGGCCCCGCGGCCGAACGCCCGTTCCCTCTCGTCCCCCGTCGTGCGACAACGCGGACAGATGCCCGTTTCTACCGACGCGGATTAACTTTGATTTCGGTTTAAATTACTTGTCCCTTTTCCAATTCGCAAAACCAGAAAGGGATACAAAGTTGAACCGAGATTAAGCTGCTTTGGTAGAAACGGGCGAGAGGTAAAATTTCGCGCGGCCGGTCGCGAGTTTATCTCGCGGCAAGACTTGTGACAAGTCCATTTAATTGCAACAGTATTTCTCATTTCAGTATCTCAATTTTGATGCTAACAAAACTGCACGGAGGTCGCTAGACGGAACAAATTCCCACTGGCTGGCGCGTGTATTGTTTCTCAAGGTCTCGGGATCTTATCTCAAATCCGCCGGATGCCCAAACAGCACAGGTATTCGGCGTGAACTCGCAAGGGGATTCACTTTTTAAAGTCCTTTGGTACGTATTCTGAATCCACTTTTATCGACAAAGGCGCCTCTAAGAGTGGCCAATAAGTCTTCTGATTGGCTACAAGCCACTTTTAGAGGCGCCTTTGTCGATAGAAGGGTGCACGTCCCAGGTGGAAAGGTCAATATTCTGGGAGAATGGGGGGACCAGAGTATTGCTCAAAATGACCAATACTATCACCTCCCAGAATATTGACCTTTCCTCCTGGGACACCCTATATAAGCAAGTTCCTCTTTCTCTTTTATATTTTAGGAGACAGAAATGGGGAAAGAGAGTTAATTTCATAATTCGCGAATTCAAAGGAAACTTTTTTCCTCCCCGGTGCTGTCTGGGTGTCCTTGCCGCCGATTCCTCAGCCGGTTCGAATCCGATCACGCGGTTGAGAGGACACTCGTCGGTTCCGAGGCACTCCGAGCGTACGTGGACGATAATGTACCGTTCGCTCTCGACACGCAAGCGTCGGATCTCCCGATCTGCTGGTCCCTCGAGAAACACAGCTTGAACGGCGGCCTCTCCGATCTCTTGGACGTCGCCGGTCTCGAGTCCCGCGAATCCGTTCGCTGCTCGGACATATTATCGGACGCGACGCGATTTCCCTTCTTCTTATTCCCCGACGGTTGTCCGTCCCGCCGTCGTCGAGGATACTCAACTGAGCGTCTTCGCCTGGCGTCGAGTGCCGCGTGCGTGTCCCCGCGACGTGCAGGAACCGCCGTATTTGATCGATATCACCTGCGAAATATACACCGTCAGAAATAAGCGAGCGCAGGTGACATTCTCGAGCCCGGGAGCTTCGCGAGCTTACAGGCCCAATGAGCAAATTGCCCGCGGCATATAGATGAGCGGCACATTTGCTTGTTACAATAAATCCGGCATCATCTGTCCGCGTTAAACTCCCGCTCAGCAGAGGTCTACCGAGATAGGCTGCTTACCCTTTTGGGAACACAGTTGACATCTTTTATAAAAATCGACACGCGTCGCTTTCCATTTGTAATTAATTTAATTCGAACTCAATCAACATTCTTCGCGCGGTATTCATAGTCAAAGCTTGTATTTAAGATCATCTTTAGATACTCCGTAGCCAGTGAAATGCTCCATACGGCATCTTACGATAGCCTTAAGACGGTCTTAAATATAAGATCTATGAATACCGGTTTTCGACTCTACTCGGGAGGAGAGTCGGGCTGTGCTTTTGACCGAAGAACGCATCCACCAGCGGTATTTCGAATCTTTAGAGATTCTATCTTGAGGCTGGTATTCCCTAGTAGCACAATGCATTGGCTAAACCAATGTCGGTTACATTAGAAATGCATTGGCCAATATCGCCCAATGTAAAACCAATATTGGCCACGGAACAAATGGAAATATTGCACGATAATAATTAATATATTGTGCTACTAGGGATTACATTTGTCGTACGACACAATTTTTAAGAACGTTGGTTGGCTGCAGGATAGAAAATTTCGAGACACTCGAGAGTTTTACTATCCCGGAACCAGTCAACATGCCTGAAACATTTATCATACGACAAATGTGATACCACGCCTTAAAGATAGAATCTTTTCTTAGTCTTTCTCTTTAAATCTTCGTCATTGGACTGTGCTCGAGTGTGTTAACGTGCATCGATTCGCGTTCCCCAAAAGCAAAGCAGCCGTATTCTTGACAGTGGACTTTCGACAGAAATGAAACGGAATCTCGCGTAAACATTTAAATGGCTACGAAACGACAGATTCTGCAGCCAATCCGCCATTACGTTCTGTTAACAGGCTCTGTTGTAATTCCGCCAGCTGTTCTATCGGCGGAATTTGCAGCGGGCGCTTTCAAAGTTCTATTCTCGACGGGTGGGACAGCAATTTACAGCGCGAAGCCTCTCCCGCGCGGGGAAGAGATCCGAACCCGATTAATGAAACGAGCGAACGGAGACACGAAAAATAAACGATGACGAAGGGCCGGCAGGCTCGGTGGATCTCGCTTCCTCGCAGAACCGCTCGTGGGCGAAAACGGGTTTCGGCGGAATAACGAGGCCGACACGATTGTTCCATACTAGCCTCTCTCTTTATTTCCGACTTTTTCTCTCTTCATTAATAATTCATATATTCCAATAAAGTACATACGGCTAATAGTGGTTATATATAATCTGGCGCGGCGATATTACAAATCTCTCTCGACTCTCTTCGTTTTCCTCCTATCGACCTTGGGCGCTTCTCTGCCTCCCTATCGTTTAATATTCGCGCCCATCTCTTCGCGCCTACTTGCCAATTAAGTAGCTGCGTACCGACGAATGAAGCACCCGAGAGAAGAGGCGGCCGTTTTCGGAAAACGAACATATCTCTCACTCTCTCACTCTCGCTCTCTCAGTCTCTCTTGTATTTGTCGTGTTCGTTACCTCGTGTAATACAAAAAGCATCCCCCCCCTTCAGAATCCTCGTATTGACTCGCAATAATTATAGGACGTTTACAGCCGTTACATTCTCACCGGGCGATATTCGCGCGCGGCGTCGGTGAGCAAACTCACCTCGTAACGCTTCGTAAAATTCTTGGAAATCAGCCGTCGACGTAACGTTAACGCTAAGGCTGATGGCAGACAACTATCCGTAAGCGCTTACGACTACGTCAGTCTTAAGCGCTTACGGATAGTTGTCTGCCATCAGCCTAACTCGGTTTATACTCCCCCCCCCCCACTCCCCGAGGGTTTATCAGCAAGTATCATCTCTTAAATTTCCGTGCGACCTCGCGCTTCTACGTCGAGAATTCGGAACTGTTTCTCGTGGCAGACGGTGGATACGGCGAGAGATTACGATGTCGCATGTTCGATCGTATCTCGATCGCCGATACCGCCGATATAGCGTATCGTCATTGCGTAATCGAAGAATACGTTGGGGCTCGAGGATCGTGACGACACGCAAACACTCTCTCTTTCTCTCTCTCTCCCTCTTTCCATAGAATAGTTTCAAGATTTAACAACGGATTCTCGTCAATCCCGAAACCGCGTAACTGCAATTAAATATCGGAAGAGGTCAACAAGGTAAATTCTTACGCGATTCGCTCCGGGGCTGATTGATATACACGCGCGCAATCACACAGGACGAGTTTTCCTTAAGACTCTATCACGAAGAGCGCGTCCTTATAGAAAAATACTCGAGACCCCCTCGGGGATACCGGATTTAAGCCTCACGGATCGTTTTGCCACGCGGCGGAAAGCACTTTGCGATCGGCAATGCGTTTCATCGAAATCGGGAGGCGCGTTCTCTTCGCCGATCCGTGTTTTTTTCTTTTTATCATCCGATTGTATCCAATTCGCGGCTCAGTATCCTTAGAGGTGACGTGATATTTTTCTACAGGACATGACCGATTCGAAGATATCCCTCAGCTTTCAATGGAGCTGTTCGTTGTCGACCGAGGCTAGTAAAACGCGATCGCGACTCTCCGTTCAGTTCGAAGGCGGGTGGGGGATAAATCGACATCGTTTTCTTTCGCGGAGGAAACGAGTCGACGCTTTAATAACTACAAATCGGTCAGACGTACAGTCGAATCTCCGTATTCTCGACGAGTTAGGATCGCGCAGCCTCCTTAAACTTTGTCTCCAGGTTTTGGCAATTTTAAACATACGCGCGAAATGTGTTTGCGATTAATTCGGTGTAAGAAGGCAAATGAAAAGCGAGACAGCGTTATTTCGTGAATCTCGAAAAATCCGAGCCGAACTGAACTGAAGAAAATCAAGTTCACGGACCCAGAGCGCAGGCGAACGTTATGAGCTCAAAGAGGATTCACTTTTTAAAATTCTTTCCCAGTCAGCGTAATCTGTTCGAAAGGAAAACGAATTCCTTTCGTATCTGAGAATTAGCTGTAGAATTGATAATGTAAAAGCGAATTCTTTTTGAACTCTTAAGATCGTTTTAAAAAGATCATAATCCGGGAACTGAGAATTCTTTTTAACTCTTAAGAACGTTTTCGGGACGAAGATGGAATGAAAAAAGAAAATTCGAAGGGAATTCTTTTCGGATTCTCCGTGCCATCCGGGGAAGTCTGGACTTGGTATTTGAAAACAGCGGCGAGGGTCGGAATAGAGAGGTCCGACTGTATTTCCGTGCGGTCGCCTTCGTCGACGCAGCGGGGTCTTTTTTTTTCGTAAAAAGCGCGAGAAGAGCGTCGGCGATTTCTCAGAGCAGAGCTGCGCCGTGAGAGAAAGAGCGTTTGGCGAACCGCCGAGGCTCCTCACACTCGTCACGTGGCTACCACCCCGCTTCTGTATTTTATTTTATTTATTTCTTTTAACACGACGGTTAAAGGGCTGCAATTTGTACTCGTATATACGCTTGTGGCCGACTTGAACGTCGACGCGCAAGGACGGCGTTGCACGTACGAAATTAAATACGATCTCCTGGTGATCTCCCGCTGCCCGGAACCGCGACCATGTCGAATGCATCCCGGGAAATCTGGAAATCCCGCCGAGAAGCGCTGCATTAGAACAAACGCAAGCGCAACAACTTTCCGCGTTTCTTTCGACGATCTCGTAGATTCTTTTCTTTATTTTTTTAGTTAAGTACACGAATCTCTCTTTCTCTCTCTCAGCTACTCTCTATAAATAAATTTCTTCGACATGGACACGATTTTACACAAAGCTAAGGGCTTCCTCTCTAAGTTAACTTGGTACGTCTTCGCGAGTGAGATCATGAGACGTTAACGTTCTCGGATTACTATAAAATTCTAGAGATTCCGATGGGGTGATATATTCTGTTCCGGGCTGACTATCGCCCTTCGCAGCTCGTATCGCATGCCATTTATCGATGAAACCGGGCGTCCGGGAATTAACATCGACATTCCAGTCGCATGCTCGCCTGTGCTTCGCTCGACAACCGTGATCTCTCTAAAATCAGGATGGAACGAGATGAATGTCACCGGGTGCGCTCACGATTGTGAAACAATGATGCGGACACGCCGGGCGATTCGAGAGAAAATAAACGTGATGTCGAGGGATATGCGAGTGTGTGTATATGCACGTACGTATGTGTGTGTGTATTTTTTGTGTGTACATGTCAAAGGAGAGAATGTAATAAAATGTCCCTTAACATTTCACTTAAAAAATATACATTTTAATGATCAATCGTGTGAGGAATTAATGACAAATCAGATTTTTCTTTTTCATCCAATCACGCCACTTGCCGGCCTGCAATCAGATTCGCGGATAATTGCTCGAGCCAAGAATTGCCGCGCGTGGATCGAATCGAATCGATTCGAATTTACGAGCGCACTTCCCGCTCCTTCGGACGATCGTACGCGTTGATCAAAAGTCGCGAAGTGATTAACATGTCTTGTTATACAGGTATAAGGTATTTTTGTACGTTCGTAATCCAGTCTCAACATTTACATGTTTCTCGCGCTAGGGTAACTAACGCGCGCCACTTAAAATACGGATAAAAGTACGTACGAGAAATTAGCGCCTCCGTGCTCACGATATATGTATATGTATATGCTTTTTTCTTTAGAATCTGATGTCGCCCATTCGGAGATAATCCAAGAGGGACGACGTTGACACGAGCGTTTCAAATTAAATGACTTGTGTGATTGAATCTCGCGGTAAAATCGAAAAGACATCTCGGGGTTTGATATTCTTTCCCTTGAAAAGAAAGAAAGAAGGCATGTCGAATATCGCAGTTTTGAAAATTGTACGTGAGCACGTTGTTAAGCGGACTTCAGCCCTGTTCTCGAACGTTTTCTCTCTCTCTCTCTCTCACACACTCTCTCTCTCTTGCTCGTTCGCTTTCTCTCTTTTACTCTCACAAAACTGAAGAACGACTTCGGTTTACAAAACCTCTAATACTAAGCAGTAAGATATCGCACCAAACGCAAGGAACAAGAGAGAGGCCATCGCATCCCCCGACGTCTCTCCCGGACATTTTCAATCGGAATCTACGGAGGACGGTCCCGGGAATGCGATACGGCCGCCCCCTCCTTTCTTCGCAATCAAGCTCCGTTTCCTCAACCGTGTCAAAAAAATATATCGTATATGTTCTACATACAAGTGGGTATGAAAAATAAAAAATATTTTTTGGCCATTTTTCTCGTTTTATAACAATTTTTTTGGGACGCGTGGAAACAGGGATTGTGGAGGAGCAGGGGAAGGAGGAGGAGGAGTAGGAGGGTTTACAGGGCTCGGCTGATTCGGAGAGGAATGTTTCAATTTCGGAGAAGAGGAGATAGAGGGAGGAGAGGAGGGACGGAGACGAGGGATGGTGGCCGGACTCGGGGAGCCGTGAAAACGTGGAGGGACGTGCGTTGCGCTTTGTGGGAAGGGCGAGAAGGAGGGAGGAAAGATTGGATAGGATGAAAACCGGGGAGCACTACCTATCAATCTAGCTCCTTTAGGATATAGGCACTATAGCTACGAGATAAATCTTATTTACATTCTCCAGTTTTCTCTCACTGTCCCACCTTCGTTCGATATACCTACTACGATTACAAGAATAAGAAAAGTGATGGAAAATCAGCTCTTGTCGAGTCGCCGCGCACTCTTAGCTTCTCCCACCATCCCCGAACAAAGAACTGAATAGTTCGACGAGACCGAGGTTCGCAGGTGACCTCGGTGATCTCGAACACAGTACAGCCTGTGCTTGAAAAATATCCGATTTTTCTCTCTCTCTGAGATAGAACGGAGGATACGCCCGCTCGTCGTACTTTTGATAACACACCTCCTTTCATCTTCTCGCGCGCAAAAAAAAAATAGAAAGGGGAAGATGCGCATCCCTCGTGAAGATATGTGTCAACCGCGCGGATACCACCCCTCGATAAGCGGATTTCACGACGGGACGAGACCCGACGAAGAGTGTGCGGATAAGATGAGAGGAACGGGATGCGTACCACTTAAAAATGTATATGACACGTGACGATTATTTTTCTTCCGTTTTTCGCGCATTTTTTTTTCTTGAAAAAGTGTAACGAAAATCTCTCACCGCCTCTTTCCCTCCCCCCCCCCCCCTGCCGCATCGTGACTCCTCCTCCGTATTTATACCCGCGCCACGCGGCGTTGGCACGACGCGAAAAACACACACCGACGTCTCCCAACTCCATACACGCCTCTCTCACATTAGCTCGCCCCACTCGGGGCGAAGAGACTTATCAACGCTTACTGTGTACTACAGGGAAGAAAATGAGAATGATAATGTCTCCGCGTTTCGCATGTACAGCCGACCGCCGCGCCATACCGATGGGTTCAGTGTTATGGTCCAGCCACTGCACAAGAAGCGCGTTATCACAATGCCAATCTTCAATCGAAAACAATTACCGCCGGCCGCATTTAACTGACGTGAAATGGGGCGAACGAAAGTACGATCCACTCGCGGGAACGGTACAAGGTGGTGAGATGCGTGTAAAAGGGATAAAAATAAGCAACGATCTGACAATCGGTATGGCTCAGCGGTACAAACTTACGCTACAAACTTACGACAAGGTGTTGGGTTTTCTCTTAAAGGCTAGTAATTAATTTCTGCCACGCGCTTCCTCTTCACGCTTGCAAACACACGCACGCATACAAACACACTCACACACACACGCACGCGTGCATGCACACACGTCACATTTATACTCGCACTGTATTATACAATCTTAAATTCGTTACGCTTACAGATCTGTGTATTATGGCCATTTGTATATTTTTTCTTTTCCTTTTATATTTTTTTTCCTTACGCACCTCACTCTTTCACGTCCTCTTATGTTGTATATTCTTTTTCCTTAAAAAAGAAAAAAGAGCATTCACTTTTTTACACACACACACACACACACACACATACACACATTCGAGCCTATATTGATACTTTACCAAAAACGCACGATCGACACAAGAAAAATCCCTTCGTTTCTCGACCCGGTAGAAGAGACAATGAATAATTTCGCAGCTTTTCTAAGCGGCACGCTCAATTGTTTAATGTGTAATGTGGGTACCGTATGGAACTTGGCGCAAGACAAATTAAGAAAGACAAGCGGGAAAAATTAACCTTTTTGTATGATAGAAATATAATTTCGTGTTACAGCTGATCAAGGAACAACGCGAAAAGTTGTTTAGTCTTGCGCAAAGAGGCCGATAAATATATTAATCTTCCAATATTCCCTCTTAAGAGAGCTCGCATTATATATTGCTTTCCGTATCTCTACACACCGTAGCTTCTCTTTTATTTACACGGACTCTCATATATATATATATATATATATTTATATATATTTATATAATCTCATCCACGCGCGCTATAAACTCTAACTCTTTACCTTATCGGTACTTACAAAGTACAAAGAAGACAGAGGTTGACAAAAGCCATATCCGCCGTATATGCTACAGCAAGCGAATGACTTTCTAAGAAAGTTTCCAATGATGCAATTACAACGTACAAACGCATGTTACACTCGCAGCCCTCCGGAGTCACGCGTCTTCTACGCGGAAGATCCCGGAATCCCAATGCCAACGATCCTGATGTCGATTCCGGAGGGACTGCACTTTGTATATCTTACAGATAGCTTCTTCACATTCTCTCATCCTCGCCGCTTTCAAATTGTACGAGTATAGAATACCGTGCGCAGCGGTCTCCCAGCTGCCCTGAGTAAAATCTGTCCAACCCCATCAAGACGTGAATGAAACAAAATTTCTTTGTATCTCTTTCATTTCCCCCCCTAAAATGTATCGATAAAATATGAAATGATCGATAGTTGACTTCTGTTCGAACCAAACTTGTTTCGCAGATTTTCGTGCACAATTATGGAATCAAGTTATAGTAAGGACAAACAATTTGTACGAAGATATAAAGTATTATCGTGGGCGTGCTGGCGTTAAAATAATTTTTGGTCGATAAAACTCTACAAAAGTACTCAACATGTAAATCAATAAACGATACCCCGTTAATTTAACAATAGAGAAACTTGAAACGAGCTAGCCACTTTCTCTTTTTTGATCCACTTTCGCGTAAACTTCATTCAAATGTTGCTTTGAAATCTTGCCGACTTACGATCTATCGCGTTTTCTATTAAATCTAATATGAGCAAACTGATCTGCACCTGTGGGCCGAGACGCGCTCACCCCCCTCCGTTTGCTCCAATTCGAGGATATATTATGGCTCGAACGTACATGAAACAATATCAAAAAAGCAATAAAAGGAACATCTTTTTCGCCTTACGTCGGTTGCGTCTGTAGATCTTTTTTCTTTTTTTTCCTGTTTTTTCAATTTAAAGAATTCAGCGAACAAAAAAAAATAAAAATAATATTTACGTAATAGGACATTCGTGCGCGTCCAAGCGCGCACGAACTATCACGATCACGAGGGTCTTTACTTTCCTTCTTCCTCCTTCCCTTTCCTTCCGAACTGCCCTACACACAACGCGCGCACGTGTCGTAACGTACACACTGCCACGTAGCGAAGGAACAAGACCACCGTCAACGTCAGTTGACGCAGGCAACGTGCTATTCCGAATCGTGTTCGGGATGCCTATCCACAAAGTCGATTCACTTTGCACAACACGATGTTCGGCGTGCGAATGAACGGAATATTCAAATGTACGTCGGTATGTATATCCGCGGATGAAAATGTTCCGACGCGCGTGTTGTGTAGCTATCTCTGTACAATATGCAACATATGGCTGCGTGAATAACAGATTACACGCAGCGGGGGTAACAGCGTTCGATGAGAGTCAGGCATGCTTTTATTTCCAAGTGACACGAGAAAGGAATTTACTCGCGCGCGGAGCGAAACGTCGATGATCGAAGTCAAACCGCGGTATAATTATCTCCCTCCCTGCTCCGATTATGTGACGAGTGTAGTCCTCGTGTACCGCGACCGGGTACACTTCGATGCGATTTACATTATTTTATTACGATTAAGATTTATATTCTAAACGGAAATCTCTATAAATCCCTTATTTTATATTTTATACATTTTTTTCCGTACATTATATTAATAGTTACATCATTTAAGTGTCTCGGTAACTATCGCGTTACCAATTATTTTGAAATTAATTCCAAGAGCGAAGAGACATCTTTCATTGGAAATAAAAACAAACCTGGTTGCCATCCAACTGCCTGTTAGAAAGGAAAGTTTAAAACAAAAGAGACTTACAACTATATTGAGAAAAAAAGAAGATAACGACGATGTTCTTTCTGTTGGATTACTTTTCGCGGCGAAATACTTTTCGATTATTATCGCTGTCGTCACTATCGTAAATGATTGAGCCTGTTCTCATTATCCGCGCAGAATCAGAGACTCGACTTATGCTACGTTAGCTTCCTAAGCCATTGGAAAAGGTATTGTACATCGTTCGCGTTTTCATGTAGCTACAAAGAGACAAGTGATACTGTAGCGAGAAGAAGTGATCGGTTCTACAGCGACCTCTCAGCCACTCGGAGACGCAATCACCGCTTTGCCGGTCTGACGTTCGAGCAGGTCCGAGCGTGCCTTCAAACGGCGCTGCATCAGACGACTCTCGGTCGGCGGCGACAGCCCGAACCAATTCTGCAGCGAGTCCTTACCGATGACGCGGTTCTTGCCGATGATCTTGGGGTCGTTGAGATCGACGCTGGAGCGCACGGAGCAAGACTTTGGCCGTGTGCCGTCGAACTCGCTAGAAGAATGCGTCGTCAAGTGCTTGCTATTCTCGGACAGCTCGCTGCTGGAGTCGGACATGTGACCGTACGGATGGTTGTCGTCGTCGGTCGATGACGTCGACAGTCTAGGCTCCCGGTTCTCCGCCAGCTCCTCGAGATTTAGAGAGAAATGCTGAAGTACCACACGATTCACAGCCATTGCAGACTCAGCGAACGCTGAGAGTTCTCTAGCGGAGTTGTTCCTCCTGGAGATAAACGTAACGAATGTGTTACACACGCAAACGAAGGAGATGGAGAACGCGAGAGACGCAACGGGTGTAAACGCCTACCTTATGATATGAGGCGTGGTAAGCGATCGATCACCAGTTTCGACGGAAGTCGGCCCGGGATTGATCCAGGGATGTTTCAAAATACTATCGGCGCTGAGCCTCTGGTGGGCCTCCTTGACGAGCAAGCCTCTGATCAAGTCTTTCGCGTCCTCGGAGATGCATCTCCACTCCTTGTCAGGGAACTCGTATCTGCCTTCCTGAATACTGGTGAAGAGCAACTCCTGACAGGCCTGACAATTCTCTCCCCTGCCCCAGCCGCAATCGGTGCCGCAGTTGCCGTAGAAAGGCGGATAACCGCAGAGGAGAATGTACATAATGACGCCGAGGCTCCAGAGATCGCAGCGTTTGTCGTAATAATTGGCCTCGCCGATGAATGCCTCGACCACTTCCGGCGCCATAAACTCGGCGCTGCCCACCGGTGTCAAAAGTTGCGGCGTTGCCACGGGACTAGACAGCGAGTTGTTGAACTTGATACCTGATCCAAGATCGAAGTCGCACACCTTGATCGGCGTCAGCTTGTCCGGATACACGCACAAGAGGTTCTCGGGCTTGAGATCTCTATGAGCAATACCTGAACATACGAGACGTATATGTCAAGTACAAAAATGTAAATATTGTCGTCGATTCCTCGACGATTCTCATCGGGAATACGTGGCTCCGTAGTAAAAGCGGTCGACTCGTAGTCGGAAGATCTCGAGTTCGATCCCGATGCACGTTACGAGAATCTCGGACCCGACTTTTCATTATCTGGTTAACTGTTAATCACAAGCTAGTCGACTAGCTTTCTTTAGATTGTTATCTAAAAAGTGACAGAGAATTGATTAGCCTCCGGTTAACAGTTGACCAGAAAATGAAAAACCGGGCCCCGGAGAGCGAAGAGATCTCGAGTGAAACACAGATACGAGACGAATGGTGCTCGACCTATCTCGAAGTTACCTTTCTTGTGAAGGAAGTCGAGCGCGCTCGCAATCTCTTTGACGATCTGGCTCGCCTCCCTCTCGGTGAAGTGAATCCGCTCCTGAATCCTGTTCAACAGCTGCCCGCCGTTGATCTTCTCAAACACAAGATAGAACTTCTCCTCGTCCTCGAAGAACTCGATCAGCTGTATGATGTTCGGGTGGCCCTGGCAATGGTGGAACGTCTCGACCTCCTTGAACACCCTGGCGCGCGCGTGCCCGGGGATCTTGTCGATGATCTTCACGGCGTACTCAAGGTCCGTGTAGAGGGACGTGCAGGTCTGGACCGAGGCGTAAGCGCCCTCCCCAAGAACTTCTCCGGTCAGTTTGTACAGTTCTGCAACAGCAACGTCAGATTCTGCGTCACGCACTCGTCTCTCGACCAAACTCCCTCGATCGTCGGGCGCTTCAATCGGCACGCATTCTCGAGGGAAGAAGAGCGACGAAAATGAAAAGCCAAAAGCGCTCGACGCTCTCGTTTCGTACAGCTCACGTATTCTCACGTCTACCGTGACGTTGCGAATGTAGCAAGCCACAATGTGCTCTTTGTGTCTGGAAACATTATGTTTTGCTATGCCGACAAATACGTTTCAAAAATATGAGTTGGCAAATTGTTCATTGCACAACATTTTTAAGCGTTTCGAGTTGCTTGTATAAGATAGAATGCTTCTAGGCGCAAAAAGCACGTTATGCAGAAAAAAAAAGAGTATCGGATCAACTCTTGTATACTCAAATTAACGCGCTCATTGTTTTATATGCGCAACGATATATGCAAACGAAGTTTTCCTTCCTTTAACGCAATATAATCTCACTTCAAGATTGTCACGGTGAAACTAAGGATATTTTCAAAAGAAGAATATTCTTTTTTCTATGTAGGGCTCGAGCCTCTCCGAGCACGCTGGAGATATACGTGGGACGTTTAAAACATGTAAAAATGTCAATGGAAGTAATTTTGTCCGAGGAAACGTGGCTCGAGGTTCTGGAGAGCGTCTGGAGAAAATTGCAAAAACGCGTCGACAATGACGAAGAAGCGGAGACTCTTTGGAGACAAGATACATTGGTCGCGCCACGTTATCTCGCGCTATCAGTTCCGCTTCTCTAAACGAGTTACTCTCACACGTGCGCGAACACTTTCCAAGCATCCTGTGTCCCATCTTATCTCGCGACTACCGATAAAAATGCCCAAACTCGTGTTTTTTTTTGCCGACTAATTAATTATCGCCTAATCCGTTAATCTTTTAACGCGCTCGGACATTTACCGATGTCCGTCGGGCGTAATTTCTGAGTCACGAGGTCCCGAGATATCCGCGGCATTTCTGGAGCCCAGGCGTACACCCGCGTCCGAAGATTGCGAAACTCGTGGACGCGACAAGACCCCGCGAGCGTACGCCGTTCGCCGCGATGAATCGATGCGCCACGCGAGCACGCGATTGGCGATTACGTCGCGCGCGGTATCGCGTTGTCATTGCAATGACGAGAGGGGACCTAGCATCGAGAACGAATCGATCGGGGCGCGCTCGAGAGCCGCCGCGTTAGGGACGCTTTCCTCGGCGATCGGCGCCGAGGCGCCTTTCCTCTCTCAGCTCTCGATTTCCCGGAGTCCACGCGAGACTAGTTTTCCCATCAACCTCGCCTCGCGTCGCGTATCTCCGAATACTCGGTACCTCCGAGAGTCATCGAAAGAGAAACGACGTCCCGGTTTTTTCGACGCCGGGCATTTGTATCGCGTTCGAACGCGGTTGCTCGTTACGCTCGACAGGCCCAATTATCTCCGGTTTAAACCTCGAACGCGCGCGCGCGCGCGCGCGTGGCGCGTTCGTGTACGAGTTGCGCGAGTGTGCGCGTCCTGCTCTAACGGCCAGGCAATGTCAAGGTCGAGAGGGGGTGGCCGAGATCGTAGCGTGGAACTACGACGCACGTACACCGAATTTACCCTCTCTCTCGGAAGTCCGCGCGCGTCAGGCTACAACGCCGCCGGCTCCTTTCCTCCTTTCCATCCTTGCCCCGCGCGACCCTCCCCCGCGCGGCCTCATCCCTACCGCGCTCTCGCGAGCGCCTGACGTTGCTCCGCTCGTCTCCCTCTTCCCTCGCTCGCCCGCTCCGATGTTTGCACGTCAGGATGCGGCGCGCATGGGCAGCGTCGCTCAGCGCCTAGCAACCGCGGGGCCGATAATACGCCGCCCCGCGTCTTTACGTCGTTCTGCGCCAATTTTAACGACGGCCCGGTCGAAAATAGCGCCGCGCAAATCGCGCGATCATCGACCCACTCGCAATTAGCGGCGAAGAGGCGCGCGATCCCGTCGGTCGCCCCGTCAGCGACGCATCCTCGAGGAGGACCGTCCTCTCTCGATCCTCTTCGCGATTCGTGGCCGGACTCTCTCTCTCTCTCTTTATATATGTTTCATGTTGTTACTGAATTATCTTAACCCTTATATTATCATATCTTTCTTCTATTTACTGAGTCATGTATAATCTAAACATTAAATGCATTAGCCTAGCTTATTGTTTGCCATGTAAAAGTGTCTATACGCTTGAGGGGACTTGTCCCAGAGTATATAATGATGATTCTGATTCTCTCTCTCTCTATCGCGCGACAATTTCACGCGCACGTTCGGCGGACTCCGGCGAAGCGTTCCATCGACTTTAGTGCGCGCTATAGCACGTACACGGTCCTAGAGCGGAGTGGAAGCTTCTCGAAGCCAAGCGCGAATCGATCACGTGGAGTGACGCAACCGGCCGAGATTGCGAACTTGATTCGTCGCGTTTACACGAAAGGAGATCGGTATTTTTTACGAACTCGGGATCCTACACGGCGTCTCGGCGGACCACCGAGACGTAAACATCGGACAATAAGTTACACTTGTCTCCGATGAGAGGAGTCGATTCGAGTCTAGCCCGAACTATTTAGGCGACGCTACTTTCGTACGTTACGTTGTTTCCCAAAGTTCGGTCTTCAATTCTGCTTTTCATATACACGGAGAGAACTTTCTCTTAAAATTGATCCTGAAAATCGTGGGACAACACACCGCCTTTCGAAGACTTTTATGAGTTTCTTGAAATTCTACCATACATTTCACTAGTAAACATGTACGGTAAAATTTCGAAACGCCCTCATAAAGCTCTTCGAAACGCCATGTAGTCTTACGATTACATGATTTTCAGAATAAGTTTGGAGGAAAAAATTATCTCCGCGTATGATACCATATTTACTACAATTTTTCGTTATTCTTTCATCCGCTGATGAAACGACCAAGTGTGATCGAAAACGACAAGGAATTTTCACAATTTCGTTCTGTTCTGCTAAACTCGGTTATTCGATCAATCGGGCCAAGAGGATTAATTATCCCGCGCGTACTGAAACACCGATCGATTTATTTGTAAACAATTTCGCGCGGCGCAATTAATCGTCATTTACAAAGCGCGGTACTAAAACGCGAATCGTCCTCGGGTGCTCCGAGGGTCTCGAAAACACGAATTCGTGGGCTCTCCGTGGGCCGCGCCGTATCGATCGAGCGAGCGGCTCCGTGGCCGAATAACCGAATATCCGGCAGCTGCGCAGCCGGGATTAATTCCGATCTCGCGTTCCTCGCGTCGCCAACCAGTTTACCAGCCCCAGGGGGGTGCAAAAACCGCGCCGCCTCGGGGGATCGTAAATACCGACGTTTCTTCTCTCGCCCGATTACGTCAACGGTGTACAAAACGACGTACTCGCGAATAGCGAGAAAAGCGAGGAGGAAGGAGAAAGAGGGGGACGAAAAGGAGAAGACCCCCGGCATTGTTTCACTCCGGTCTGCTTTTCCCGGCCTCGAGGAACCCGGCGGGAGAAATGGAGGGCGAGGGTAAGGAGCGAACTTCCGGTGTTTATAAACAAGCGGCGCGCGAAATTCCAGGCCGCCTGCGCGATCGATTATCGCCCACCCCTTCTTCTCGCCGCGGGGGGGCGCGAGTCTCTTGAGCGTCCCGAACTTGTCCAAGGTCACACATTACCTACGAAGGACTGCGAGTCACTGATGCAAGATGGAAAGAGCGAAAGAGAAGAAACGGCCGTTTTATTCGACTTCCGTTCGCACCCCCTCCTCTCTCTCTCTCTCTCTTTCCATCCCATCTTGCAAATCTGTTCGCGGCCAACGCCAAGCGTTGGCTCTCCCTCGCACACCCTCTCTCGTGATCGGCGCCGATCTCTGCCGAATTTACCTTGGAAACAGGAGGACACCACGGAGGAGCCGGAGCGTCTCTTCCTGCGTCTCTTGCGTCTCGCCTCCTCCTGACGGGCCTGCACCGCGCTCATGGACTCCCCCGTCGAGGCTACGTCCCGGCAGGTGCCATCGCCTGAAACAAACGCACGGCGTTTAATATTAACCCGAGCCTCTCGCGATCAACCTTTAATCGCGCTTGAAAAAAAAAACAACCCCCTCCACAAACTTAATTTGTCGCTTAATCTATGCTAATTCCTTGCGAACACGTTACGTGGCGCAGTTGCGTGCGACCAAGTAAAGTTTAATTAATTAAAGGTTAACTCGGCGCACCTCTCGTCAGCGCGTCTCCTCCGCGGATGGAAACTTTAACGAACTTTCATTGTCGGATAAATTTGCACTTCGCATCGTAGAGTCTCCTACTAATCTAGCTCACGCCTTCTGCTTCTCGCGCGATTAACGCGAACCGAAGACTATGACCCGAATGACGGGACAAAGGCGGCGCGGTCTAAAAATACCGGGTAAAGTAATTTTTCAGCGTGAATATGCATGGCGCGGAGCAAAGCGGAGCGTCTCTGAAGACGCGGTTGCGCAACGCGGCGACGTTTATTCGCGGACAAAGTGGCTCTCCCGTGGCGGCCTGCGCCACACGTGACGGACTCGCGTCTCGCGCTATCGCCGTTTATTACTTGCGCGGCTCTTATCGACGTCCCGGTATCATCGCGGCCGTTAGTCATCCGCTCGAGTCCGCCGCTCGTTGCCGCGGACGATAATTTTCGTCGCCGGACGCGAGCGTCGTCTCACGACCCGGTCGGTCGCATTAATTAACGCGACAACAAAAATTAATCCGGCGGCTCGTTGAGGAAAAAAAAAGAGCAATGAGAACGAGCCGGTACGAAAAAAGATTCCCGCGCAACCGAAGGAGGGAGCACCGCATTCATCGGGATACGCGGCGCCTTTATGAATAAACCGTACTCTCATTAGTCCAAGGTTTAAAATAATGCCCGCGCGCCGTTATAATTATCGCCCGGTAGACGTTGACGTGTCGGCCGGCTATTTCCACCGTGTCATAAAATTATCGCGCCGCGCGCGTTTTCACGTGCCGGTCACCGCGCGGCTCGGTCATCTCGGCATGGAAATGGTTTCCGAAAGGAATTATTCTCCCTTTCCCCTAGAAAGCACCATAGAAATCCAGGATAGTAATTGAACGATTCCGAACGTTTTCGTGACAGGTACAGTGATGGGCAGAATAGTCGCGACACTGTCTTTCTAAACGAGGAACTTAGGAACGCGCGCTTCAGGTTTATGTCCCAAAACATTTTTTCTGCGAGGAAAATTTTACTCCAGAAATAGATCAAAAACGCACAAAATGGTATCGGAGTGGCCGTCGAGTAAAATATTCCTCCTCTACCTCGACCGAGACGTCCGCGAAGCTAATCCTACTTTTTCAAAATTTATCAAGCCTTGTGTCCACGATCCAAGAACTGCGCTCAAGTTCTAG